AGGCGCTGCAGAATGCAGAGAAACGAATGGACACGGGCACATCGAAGCCCGCACACCGAAGCCATCGAGGGCGCCGACCCCACCAGCTCCCCCCAAGACTCACGCCGAAGGCATCCGAACGAAGCGAGCGCGCGCGGCAGCCCCCCGGGCCCGTGGGCGACGTCGCGCCGACGGCCAAGCACTGCAAGCTCTCGCGCGCGGCGCCCCGCCGCCCAATCGACGCGCGCAGCGGGACGCTCCTCCCCGAGCGCCCACCGGACCCAACGCGGCGAGCTCCACCACCGGTCGCTGCGCGAGACCACCCCCGCGCACCTCCGAAGGCTGCCCATAAGCTACGGCGTCATCCGATTTTGTTAGATAGACGTTGAGTCGAGTTTCGGGCTCGGCCCACCTCTGTGCGTGGCTTTTGTGGTGCGGCGGCGGCGCCGCAGCCCAAACCACCCATGTACAAGGTCAAGGGCAAGGGCGCGCTCGTGCGCGAAGGGAAGGACTTGAAGAGCCCGGAGGTCCAGCAGCTGCCGACCGGCGTCGAGGTCCTCGTCGACGCCATCGAGAGTGTCAACGGCAAGGACCGCGCGCGCCTGAGCGAACCGATCCAGGGCTGGTGCGTCCGCGCGGCGCGCGCGCGCGACGGTACGCAGCGCCGCGCAGGGTGTCGCTCAAGTGCCTCGAGAAGGTCGGCTCCGCGGCGGCGCCGGCGACGGTCGCGAAGCCCAGGCCCGCGGCGCCCGCGGAGCCGTCGTCGCCCAAGAGCCCGCGGAGCGTCAACGAGAGCCCCTGGTCCGCGGGCCGCGACGGCGGCGCCGTCGACGGCGCCGCCTGGGACCCGCTCATGGACGCCGGCGGCGACGAGTCCGAGGAGAGCAAGGCGCGGCGGGCCCGCGCGGCCGAGGCCGAGCGCGCCGCGGCCGCGCGCCACGCGAGCCAGTCGGCGTCGGAGCGCGCGGACGAGGCCTTCCTCGGCGACGACTGGCGCGCCGCCGTCGACCTCTACGGCGCGGCGCTCAAGGCCGACCCGGGCGTGCCGCGGCTCTACAAGCGGTCCGTTTTTTCGGCGTCCGCCGCTGTCCGCGCTGCCGCTCGCGCCGCCACACGCGCCCTCACGCAGGCGCGCCTACGCGAATTTGAAGCTCGCGGAGCGGTCCGCGGAGCTCGAGGCGCCGGAGAAGGTCACGAAGGAGCTCCGCGCGAAGGCCGCGGCGGACGCGGACGCGCTCGTGAAACTGGACCCCCACAGCGCCGAGGGCTACGCGCTCCGCGCGTCGGTCTACGTCGAGGACGAGGACCTCTTAGCCGACGCCGCCGCGGACTACGGCCGCGCGGCGATGCTGAGCGAGGGCGACGACCGCGACGGCTTCGAGGCGTCGAAGGCGGAAGCGGAGGCCGCGCTCAAGCGGCGCGACGCGCGGCGCGCGACGCTGAAGAAGGCCCACGAGGATTTGAAAGCCGTCGCCGACGACGCGTTCCGCGGCGGCCGCTTCCTCGAGGCCGTGAAAAAATACGGCGAGGCGCTGCGCGTCGTCGAGGACGACGACGACCGCGCGAAGTTGTTCTCGAACCGGTCCGCGGCACACCTCAAGTTGAAGGACTACGACGAGGCCCTGCGCGACGCCGACGCCATCGTGAAACTGTCGCCCAAGTGGCCCAAGGGCCACGCGCGCCGCGGCCAGGCCTACCGCGCCATGGGCGGCGCGGGCCGCGCGAAGAAGGCGCGCCTCGCCTTCGCCGAGGGCCTCAAGCTCGACCCGGTGAGCGTTGGTTTTCGGGGCGAGTCTCATCTGCGCGATCCTCGCAGGCGAACAAGGAGCTCTACGAGGGCGTCGAGGCGTCCGTCGCCGCGGAGCACGGCGCGAACCGGGGCGGCTACGACGGCAAAACCGTCATCGTCGCGCGTTATAGGCACGAACGCGGCGCCCGACGACATGAAGAAGGTCGGCGACGACGCCTTCCGGTCCGGCGACAGCGGCACAGCCGCGGCGTGCTACTCGCTCGCGCTCAAGCGCGACGGCCAGAACGCGAAGCTCTGGTCGAACCGGTCCGCGGCGTTCGCGAAGCTCGGCGACCCGGGCCGCGCCTTCGACGACGCGCGGAAGGTGCGTGGCAGCCCGGCCCCGCCGCGCCGACGGGGACTCGAGCGTCGCGCCACAGGCGCTCGCGCTCGAGCCCAAGTGGTCCAAGGCCTACCGGCGCTGCGCCGACGCGCTCGTCTCGAAGAACAACGTCGCGCGCCGGCGTCCGGCTTGCTTTACCGAACGAACTTACGATTGCGCCGCAGGTCGAGCACGCGTACTGGTACTACGCGATGGCGTCGAGCCTCGACGCGCGCGACGCCGGGCACCAAACCGCGAAGCTCGACTGCCTCAAGCGCCTCGTCAAGGAGGACGGCCTCCAGGCGCGGAAGCGCGACGCGTTGTTCAAGCGCGACGCCAAGCTCAAGCCCAGCGCCGTCCGCGTCTGGGCGTGCTCGGACGTGCACTACGACCACCACGGCGCGCCCGAGTGGGCCGACGCCTTGAGCGACACCATGTACCAGCGCGACTCGCTGCTCCTCGCGGGCGACATCGCGGACACGCTCTACGGCGTCGAGCTCGGGGCGGGAAACGGGCGCGACATTGCCAACTTCTATCTCGGCCGTTTTCCACTCGTTTCGGCTGATTTTTGGACGAGCGATCATCCCTCGGAGCGCTCTCGAAGCGTGGATGCTTTTTTCCGGAACGCGCGCGCGCGGGACACTCAAGGTTGAATCGCCCTTTTCCCAGGTCAAGCTCGCGCTCCAGACGTTCAAGCGCAAGTTCCGCCGCGTCTTCTACGTGCCGGGCAACCACGACCTCTGGATCCGCCCGGGCCTCAACGACGACGAGGAGAAGAAGTTCCCCGACTCCATCGCCAAGTTCCTCGCCATGCACCAGCTCTGCGACGAGATCGGCTGCGAGATGACGCCCGCGGAGGTCTGCCAGGGCGTCTTCGTCATCCCCATGTACGGCTGGTCCGCGGCGCGGCGCCGGAAGACACGCGGCGTTCCGCCAGCCGATCCCGCGCGCAGGTACTCGCCGACCTACGACCACCACGACCCCAAGCCCGGCAACGTCCGCTTCGACAAGTTCGCCAAGTGGCCCGTCGACTACAACGAGGCCTGGAAGATCTTCCACGTGCGTGGCGTTTTCTCCCGCGCCGACGCGCCGCGACGCCCCCCCCCGCGCAGGCCTGGAACGAGCGCCGCGTCGCGCGCGTCGCCGCGGAGCCCGTCGACAAGAAGTACCGGAAGACGAAGCAGCGCGACTGCGTCACCTTCGGCCACTTCCTGCCCCGCAAGGAGCTGCCCTACCCGGGCCAGATCCACGAGTTCGCCAAGTGCGCCGGCCTCGCCGAGTTGGACACGCAGGTCCGCGCCGCGGGCGCGCGGATGCACGTCTTCGGCCACACGCACATGAACACGCTCCACGAGTTCGACAAGGTCCAGTACCTCCAGAACTCGATCGGCTACGGCTGCTCGAACTCGACGCAGTTCGCCCTGGTCTACGACGGGAACGGCGTGGGGGCGCACTAAATTCGTGTGACTCTAAACGCAGGACTCCCGGCCGGCGGGCAGGACGGGTCGGCGCGTGAAAGGAGGCCCACATGAGAGGCCTAAAAGGCGAGCGTGCGTCTGTGTGCAGCCCCAAGCCGAGCCTGCCGTCACCTTCGGCGAGCGGCCGGCTCAGTGGCGAGGCGAAGCGAGCCACCTCACCATGGGACTGGTCTGTGTGTGAGTCGGAACAGTCGCGACTAGTCGGCCGTGACTTTCCTTCTTCGACGTCGAAGGTCAAGCGCCTGTTCGGCGGACGCGACGCCGCCCGCGCGCTCTTGCGCGTCGCCGACACTCGGCTCGACCGCGTGTCGAGACCCCTCACCACCCGCACCGACGCCGGCGCGATCTCCTTCCCTCTGGCCCGCTGAAAATGACGTCAGATGCGACCTCTTCCTTAAACCCGCGCAAGCTCATCTCGTTGCGGCCCGTCCTGTCCTGCCCGTGCTCCACGACGCTCGCGTCCTCGCGCCGGTCGAGCCCGTCGCCGCGCGTGCGGACACGTGGACCGTCGCGCGGCCGACGCCGCGGCCGCGAGCGCCGCCGCCGCCGCCGAACGTTTCCGCGACCGCGACGTACAATCGGTCGACCTACTCGACGTTCTTCGCGGGCACGTGCGCCGCCGCCTCCGTCGGCGACCATCGCCGTGCCGACATCCGCGTACACCAAGATTGAACCTCTCCACGCCCGCGATGGCCTCGAACTACAATCGCCCCGCCTACTCGACCGCGACGTGCTTCGCGCCGAGATACTCGCCGGCGCGGCAGCCGCGACCGCTCGACGCCTACGGCCGGCCGCTGGCGTTCGCGACGGCGCCGCGCGCGTCCGAGGCCTTCGACTCGCACTCGCGCGGCCTCGACCGCCTCAAGAAGGACATCGCGCGCGGCGTGTTCCACCCGCGCCTCGAGCCGTCGCTGCCCTCGGCGGTCGTCTCGCTGGACGGCAGCCCGCAAACGGACTCGCGGCACCGGGACCTGGCCGACTTCGAGACGGGCCACGTCTTCCTCGAGACCTTCTCGTCGCCCACGTCGTCCGAGACCGAGTCGGGGAACGACTCGCCCGCGCGGTCGCCCCGCGCCGAACGCGGGAGGCGCCGCGCCCTCGCCGGCGCCGTCAGGGCCGCGACCGAGTAACTGAGAAATCCTATCAGCTACCAAAAACGCACACTCCAGAGGGTTCTTAGGGCTCACAGCTAGGGGCGGACGCGTCTGGTGGCGCTCCACCGGCGGCGGGCTACGCGAGCTCCGCCGAAACCGTCGGCGCGTCGCGGGACGTCGACGGGTCCCAGGGTCGCGCGTTTTGCGTCGCAGGCGTTGTGGTAGTCGAGGGCGGCCTCCGCAGCAGCCGGAGATCGTTGGAACCGCCGTCATCGATGCGAACTCGGCGGCACGCCCCAGGCGTAAAGAGGCCACGAGGAGGCCGTGAAGCCGTTCTTGCCTCTCAACCTCCTGACTCAGTCGGTGCCGCCAAGAGCTTGGGGCCGAGGATCGCTCCGCTCGTTCTCGGTAATTCGAGGGCCGCGTGCTCGGCAAGCGGCCGTCGCCCGCGTGCAGCTCGTGCGCATCGCGGCCCCGTGCCTCGGCCGCCCGCCCGCGACGCACCTTGCACACCGTCAAACACCCGCAAGCCAGCCGAAGCGAGTTCATCGCAATCGAAAACAAGTGGACATGCAACGTTCTTCCAGCCAGTGCAGCCTCGTCTCGCTGCGGCCGGTCCTGCCCAAGGCCTACGACGCTCCGGTGCCCGCGTCCATCGCGCCGCACCTGAGCGTCTCTCCTCCGACGCGGCCGCGCGCGCCGCCGCCGCCTCCCGTGAATTTCTCGGTGCCGGCGACGTCCGCGTACAACCGGCCGACGTACGCGAACTCGCCGTGCCACGCGCCCCGGTTCACGCCCGTGCGCCAGCCGCGGCCGCTCGACGCCTACGGCCGGCCGCGCTCGCTCGGGCTGACGCCGCGGCTCCCCGAGGCCTTCGGCGAGCCCGGCCTCGACGCGCGCGGTTTCCACGGCTTCGACGGCGCCTCCAACGCCATGCACCTGAGCCTCCAGCCGTCCCTCCCCCCGCACGCCGCGTCGGCGGTCGTCTCCGTCGACGGCAGCCCGCACGTCGCCGAGCCGGATCCGCGGCGCCAGGACCTGGCCGACTTCGCGACAGGCCACGTCTTCATGGACGCCTTCTCGCCGGAGCACGACGCCCACTCGCCCACGGCCACGTTCGAGGCGCGGGCTTGCGCATAAATTCTTGTATCATAGTCGTCTCCCCCCGTCGGCCTTGGGCCCTGCTAGGCTCCTGCTGCTGGGGACCCGCCTGCTTCAACTTCGTCCGTGAAGGCTCTTCAGGCCGCTATGCGCTCCTACCATGCTGCTCCCGCCACGTTTAATCCCCAATAATCGTGGACACGGCGGACATCGTCCTCGCGCGCACCCGCGCAGTCGCTGAAATCTTTTGTCCTAGTTACGCCTCTTAGACTAATAATACTACAGTAAATTTAGTTCAAGCCATCGGCATTTTGAGCAACTCTCAGAAGCTACTGCCATCAAGATAAAGCCGCGCTCGTCGTCGCGTTCCGCCCCTCTTGCACCGCGCAAACCCTGCTCACCCACTCCCGTGCACCCCCCTGCTCGCCCACACCATGGCATCGTGCTCGCAAGCAAGTTTGCAAGCGGCGGCCTCCCAGCCGTGCGCTTTCCAGTCTACTTCCTCCTCCCGCCGCCTCATCGGCCTCAAAGCGACATTGCCCAAGCCCTACGACTCCCCGGTGCCCGCGGCGCACGAGCCGCTCGTCGCGCCGCCGGACACCTGGCAAGTGAGCCCGCCCACGCGGCCGCGCGCGCCGCCGCCTCCGCCGCCGAGCCTCTCCATGCCCCCGGCGTACAACCGGCCGACCTACTCGAGCAGCAACTGCTACGCGCCCAAGTTCACGGCCGCGCGCCAGCCGCGGCCGCTCGACGCCTACGGCCGGCCGCGCTCGCTCGGGCTCAGCCGCGGCTTCCCGAGGCCTTCGACGAGCACGGCCTCGACTCGCCCGGAGGCATCCACGCGCTCAACGAGGACCTCGCGCGTGGCATGTACCACCCGTACCGCGCGACGCTCAACTCCGAGGACGCCTCGAGCAGCAGGCACAACGCCTACCACGTCGACTACGCCGTGCACCCGACGCTCAAACCCCGGCTCCCCCCGGTCCTCCCCTCGGCGACCGTCTCCATCGACGGCAGCCCGCACATCAGCCAGTTGGACTCGCGGCGAAAAGACCTGGCCAACTTCGCGACGGGCCACGTCTTCCTCGAGACCTTCTCCTCGCCCGAGACCGACGCGTACTCGCCGGCGACCATGTGAGCGCCGCTTTCGTGCCGCACCCCGACTCCGGCCGATAGGCCGGCGTCCGTGCTTTAAAACCTATCTGATGTTCAACGCTGTCCGTGCTTTAGGATTTCATCTGGTGTTCCACATTTCCCGTGCTCTTAAAAAACCTTATCTGGTGTTCCACGCCGGCGCGGCGTCTCCCACCGGCGGCCGCCCCGCCAGCGCGTCGAGGTCGGCGTCGATGTCGTCGATCTCGAGGCCCCGGAAGAGCGCGCGCGCGTCGGCGTTGGTCCGCTTCATGGCCTCGAGCTCCTCCTTCATGCGCACGTAGTCGAGCCGCTCCGCCTCGGGGAGCGCGACGGTCTCGACGTCGTCCGCGGCGGGGAGCGCGTCCTCGGCGCCGGGCCCTTCACAGGGCGTAACGCGGCCGTCCTCTGGATGCCGCGCCGTCTCGGGCACCGCGGCCGCAGGCGCGACGGCGTCTTCAGCGGCGGCCTCCGCGGCTGGCAGATCTGCGACCGCGACGCCATCGACGACCGGAGGCGCGACGACGCCAACGGCGCCCACCGCCGCCGCGAGATCCTCGCCGTCGTCGACCTCGACGCAGGCGAAGCCCGTGACGTCGAGCGCGACCATGTCGAGGCGCCGCGGGCCGCCCGCGCGCAGCGCGCGGTCGAAGGAGTCCTCGTAGTACTCCGACGCCTCCGAAGCGTCGAGGAAGAAGGGGAGCCGCGCGCCGGCGACGGCCGCGCCGGAGACGCCGTAGAGGCCGACGCACTCGCCGACGGAGCCCGGGCCGATGGCCTTGCCGATCTTCGTGATCTGGTGGCGGGCGTTCGTCAGGCAGCGCACGGCCTCGGCGTCCTCGGACGACGCGGCGAGGGGCGACGGCCGCGCGACGGCCGCGCAGGAGCCCGGGAAGCGGGCGACGCGGTCGAAGACCTCGGCGTCGCAGACCAGGTCGCCGTCCGCGAGTAAGAAGCCGTCGAGGAGCGACGGCGCGGCGCGGAGCGCCGCGAGCAGCGACTTGCACGTGTTCGTCGACGCGAAGTCGTCGTTCACGACGAAGGTCGCTTCCATGCCGAGCTTCGCGCACGCGGCCTCGACGTGCGCCTCGACGACGTCGCGGCGGAAGCCGACGACGACGACGACGGCCTCGACGCCGGCCGCGGCCGCGTTGCTCGCCATGCGCTCGAAGATGGACCGGCCGCCGACGTCGACGCAGCACTTGGGCAGCGTCACGTTCGTCGACGCGCGGAGCCGGCTGCCGACGCCCGCCGCGAGGACGACGAGCGGCTGCTTCGGCGGATGCGCGCGGACGCCCGAGGCGAGGACCGCGCGACGCGCGGCGAGGACCGCGCGGCCGCGGAGGAAACCCGGCGCGTCGAGGTCGCCGGCGGCGCCGGCGGGCGCGTACCAGGGCCCCGCGACGGCGGCGCGGCACCACCGTCGGAAGCCGCGCGCCTCCGGGTCGTCGTCACCATCCGGCGTTCGGTCGCCGCGTTCGCCGACGACGCGGCAGCCGACGCCCGCTCTCTCGCACGCGCGCCGGAGCGGCTCGAGGTCGTTGGCGCAGACGGTCTCCGCGGCGCAGACGACGGCCTCGTAGCCCGCGGCGGCGCGGACGACGTCCGCCGCGCGGATCGGCGCGCCCCAGCCGAGCGCGTAGCGGCCGTGGCCCGCGTCGCGCTCGAAGGCCTCGGCAACGGGGCCGTTGGACACGACGAGGAGCCGCGGCGGCGGCAGGCGCGGGGGCGCCGCGAGCCCCTCGGCCGCGGCCATGGCCGCGACCTTCGCGCGCAGCCGCGGGAGGCCGTGGTCGCTGCGGACGCGCGCGTCGCGCCGCGACGGCATGACCGGACGGTAGAGCTCGGGCGCGAGCGCCGTCTTCTCGCGGCGCGGCGGCGCCCCGGCGGCGTTTCCCGTCCGGTACTGCTCGTGCTCGCGGTCGACGTAGTAGACCGCGAGGCAGTCGTCGCCGAAGGCGCGGACGAGGTAGCTCAGCGGCCGCGGCGGCAGCGGCACGTCCGCCAAAGGTCCGAACGCGTGGCCGCCGCCGCGGAAGGGCAGCTCCGGGCGCGTGACGAACTCGCCGGGCCACTTCTGGATCGCGAGGCCCGCGCCGCGCGCCTCGATCTCGCCGAAGTGCCAGAGCGGCCACGCGTCCGCGGGCAGCGCCGCGCACGGAGCGACCGCCGCTGCGACGACGGCCCCGTCCTGCGGCGACCCGTTCCGCTTCGTGGCGACGGCCTCGCGCAGCGCGTCGAGCGACGCGTACTCGACCAGCAGAAAGACGTCGACCCAGACGCCCGGCGACGCCTCGGGCCGCACGCGGTCCCAGCACAGGCCGTTGCGGCCGCCCGCGGGCGCGTGCCGCAGCCCGGGGATCGCGCGCAGCGCGCGGCGCGCGCGCTCGAAATGCTCGCGGCCCAGCACGGCGAGGTCGATGTCGTCGTCGCAGAACAGGATCGACGCGGAGCGCACGGCGCCGAGCGCCGAGCCGCCCGTCAGCGTCCACGGGATCGCCGCGGCGGCGAAGGCGCGCTGGATCTTGCCGAGCGCGTCGTAGAGCGCATCGATCTCTTTCGCTTTGATGCAGAGCGTCGCAGGGCCGCGCGGCTGCTGCATGCTGGGCTAGGAGAGGATGCAAGGCGTCGCCGGGCCGCGCGGCTGCTGCATGCGAAGCTAGGAGAGGCTCACAGACTCGCCTCCCATCGTGTGATTGAAGCGATGGTGCCTCTTCGAAGCAGCCCGAATTCCATCGTGGTGGCGCCGGCGCCGGCGGCCAGGCGCCAAGACTCCCCGGAGCCCGCGGCGACGTCCGTCGCCGAGACCCGAGCGCCCGCGCGCGCCGCGTCGCGTGAAAAAAATGGGCCTCGTGGGCTCGAAATGCACGAGAGAGTGCGCCGGCGGCGGCGGCGGCGGCCGCGACGGCCGACGGACCTCGTCGTCGCCGTATTCGACGCCGACGCGGCTGTCGTCGGAGTCCGGCGGCGGCCTCGACGCATCGTCGGCGCCGTCTTCGCTCGCGTCGTCGGTGCCGCGGTCCATCGAGGAGCGGCGGAGCTCGAACGTTTCGGAGCCCTCGCCGCTGCTCCTCGACCGCGGCCGCGACGGCGGCGGCCACACGCTGCGCGACCTGCTCCGCGCGCACATCGCCGCGCAGCTGCGGGCGCTGGGGCCCGAGGCGGACATCGCCGCGCCCGCGGGCTGCGACGAGGACCTCTGGGTCGACATCCACGTCGTCGACTTCTGCAACGAGGTCGACGTGCTCTGGCGGAAGGTCGACGACCGCTGCGCCGCCAAGTGCGGCGACGCGCCCATGCGCGCGGGCAACCGCGTCTACGACTGGTGCGACGGCGAGCCCGTGTCCGCGCGGGCCTTCGCCAGGGCAGCACAAGAGAGCGACATTCCCAACTTCAAAGGCTCCGATCTCGGCCGTTTTCCACTCGTTTCGGCTGATTTTTGGACGAGCGATCATCTCCCGGAACGGTGTCGAAGCGTGGATGTTTTTTTCCGTAACGCGCGCGCGCGGAACACTCACGTTGAAGCGACGTTGAATCACTCTTGTGCTGCCCAGGCCTTCGCGGCGCGGACCTTCGAGGCGGCCGTCGAGATGACGTCCGACGCGGCCGTCTTCCCGCCGCTGGAGCACGCGGCCTACCCGGCCGCGTTCCGGCCCGCGGCGAAGGCGCTCTGCGGCCGCCTCTGCGCCATCTACGCGCACATGTACCACCGGCACTTCGCGAATTTCGTCGAGACGCACAGCCACGTCGCCGTGAACGCGTTCTTCAAGCGCTTCGTCGTCTTCTCGCTCCGCCACGACCTCATCGGGCCGGCGGACCTCGAGCCCGTCGCCGAGCTCGTGCAGAACCTGCTCCGGACGCACAAGAAGCCGCCGCCGCCGCCCTCGACGCCGCCGCGGCGCTCCGCGTCGCTCCCGCCGCGCGTCGCGGGCGTGCAGACGACGTGAGCGGTAGGATTGCGGGGGGTTGTTCGATGTAAATTTTGCGACCGCGCGAGAGCCTTCGGCTTCAGCGGGGGGCCACGGCAGCTCGTGTTGCCGCCGTCGCAGCTCCCCTGCATGTGGCTCGCCAAGGTACCCCACGAACCCCCCTGGATAAGCCCCTCCCCTGCATGTGTCGAGGACCCACTGTCGAGCTGCCACACATCAGCGATGGTGGACGACGAGCCTCGGCGTAATCCATCGCGGTGCCTGTCGGAGCACACGTTGAGCGAGATGGTGTGCGACGATGAGCCTCGGCGTAATCCATCGAGGTGCCTGTCGGAGCACACGTTGAGCGAGATGGTGTGCGACGGGCCCAAAGCCCCTCAAGATGTAATCCCCCCGGACTCCAACCCGGGCTTGAGCGCTTCCGTCGCCATGCGCGCTGCGACGGTGCTGCGCGACGCCCTCCATCCGGACCTGGACAAGTGTCGCGGCGAGATTCATCGATACGTGCGACGCGTCGCCGTGCCCGCGATCGCGCGTCACGTCCTGTACGAATTCGACGAGCGGGTCATTCTTCATCAACGACACTCTCATGATTCCGACATCGTTGCAACTTGGGGTAATCTGAGTGATCACAAGTCCGATGTATCGTACAATTTGCGACCGTCGGAAGAATCCGAGATCCGAGCCGCGCTCGGACTGCCCGAACCTAGCGATGACGACGAGGAGGGATCGCCCCCTTTCTGGCACCTCTTTGACCCAGATGAGGACGACACACATTATCTTGCCTACTGCCTCCGAGGGAAGAGCCGGTGCAAAGGGTTCGCGGGCTACGAGAAGCCGAGCGACGAAACGGATTTGGGATTCCTCGCGGCGCTCCCAGATCGCGTCCTCGCGGCTCTGAGCGAAAAGCCGCCGCAAATCACGCTCGACTTCTGCGCGTTGCTACGCTCGGCGCACGGCGTGTCCAGTGTTGACGACATCGAGTTCACAGAATACAACGAGAACATCGAGTTCGCAGAGGAGGACGTGGACGCGCGGCTTCCGAGCATGTCGCTGAATTTCGTCAACACTTCGGGCCGGCCGGGGCTGGCCCCCGGGGCCTGGGAGAGTAGTCGCGTCGTGGCCTGCTTCACCGCGACCGTCGCGTACCTTCCGTCCTTCGAGCAGGCGCGACCCGTACCGGTCCAGTTCTGTCCCTACAACTTCAACCACGACGAATACGGCAGCGCCAAGATGCGAAGCATCACGGCCCGCGAGGTCTGCGCGATGGGACCCGTCGGCGCGTCCTACCACCGCCTCGAGAGCACTGCCGGCGGGATACGTTAAGAGCCGCGTGTGACTAGTTCCGAGCGTTAAAATCTCCGCGGCTACTTCAGGCTCGTCAGCGTGCCCTGGCTCTCGTCGTCGTCGAACTCCGTCGCGGCCTGGAGGACGTTGTGGTTCATCTGGTCGAGGACGGAGCCGATCTCGTGGAGCGCGTTGGTCTGCATGACGTTGGCGGCGCGGCGCTTGGCGGCGTCCGCGTCGCGGAGCGCGGACTCGCCCGGCTTCTCCTTGAGCTGGTAGGGCCGCCGGGGCAGCTTCCGGTTGAGGTAGGCCTTCGTCGGCCGGTTCGCGTAGGGCACGAGCCCCCCGCGGTGCGTCGGCGCGGCCGTCGTGTGCGACGTCACGGGGTGGTCGAGCGCGAACTTGAGCGCGTTGAGCGCCGCGCGGAGCTTGCCCGGGTCGCTCCGCCGGTCCGGCTCGATGGCGCGCGCCATGAGCGTCGACGGCCGCACCAGGGGGTCGTCGTCGCCGTGCTCCGCCAAAATCTCCTCGGCCTCCGCGCGGCTCAGGTCGTCGACGTCGTCCAACGCCGTCAGGAACATGCCGTCGTCCGCGACGCCGGCCGTCGGCCCCCGCGTCGACGGCTGGCCCGCCGTCGCCGGCGCCGGCGGCGGGTAGAAGTCGCCGACGCCGCGGTTCGAGTCCCAGGTGCCGCTCCGCGAGATGGAGTCCTGGGACGCCTTGTCGAGGAGCGCGCGGTTGCCGCGCGCGCGGAACTCGGCCGCGGTCGGGATCGGCGGCTCGGGCACGCGCGTCAGCGACACGTTGCGGAAGCGGCGGTCGCCGCGCGCGTTCGTCGCCGCGGCCATGGACCCCCGCGGCGCGCGCCGCCGCGGCACCTCCGTCGACACCTCGAGGAGCCGGTCCGTCCACCCGTCGCGCGCGTCCGCCGCGCACTCCGCGAAGTTGCGCACGCTCCCTCCGCTCGCGTCCTCCTTCGCGGGCCCCAGCAGCGGGTTCCCGTAGAGCGCGAGGTGCTCGAGCTTCGGGAGTAGCGTCAGACCCATGACGTCGCCCTCCGTGTGGATCTTGTTCCAGGCGAGGTTCAAAGCGACGAGTTCGACGAAGATCGCGGTCTCGGAGACCTTCGTCGCCTCGGCGACCGCGTCGAGCGTCGGGAAGCCCGTGAGCTTGTTGTGCGCGAGGGACAGCTCGCGCAGGCGCGTCAACCCACTGAGAGCACACACGTTGCCGCAGTCGTCCTGCGCGTCGCCCCCGAGCTTGTTCCGCTCGAGCGACAGCCTTTCCAGCGCGGGGAACTTGCCGAACTCCTCGTGCGTCGGCAGGGACCGCAGGCCGTTGCCCGTGAGGTCGAGCTCCCGGAGCTGGGGCATGCCCGCGAGGTTCGTCACGGCCTGGACGCCCAGCGCGTTGTACGATAAATCCAGGACCTGGAGCCGCTGCCACGCGGAAGACCCCTGGGGCCAGTCGAAGCGCTCGAGCCCGTTCGCCGCGAAGCGCAGCTCCTTGAGACGCGGCAGCTTCCCGAAGGGCGCCAGCGGCAGGCAGTTGTCGCTGCAGTCCAGCGTCGCGAGCCGCGGGAAGTACTCGAGGTCCGTCTCGGAGACGCTCGACGCCGCGTAGCCGGACACGTCCGCGCGGTGGCCCTCGTCGGGGAACTCGACGCCGCAGGCCTCGAGCAGCAGGAACCCGTCGACGACGGGCGCCACGCTCCGCGTCAGCCGCGCCCGCGACCGCTCGAGGCGCTCGGCCCGCGCCCGCTCCGCGTGCACGTCCACGGAGATCATGCGCAGGGCGCCCGTCACGCGCCGCGCCTGGGGCAGGTTGTCGCCGGGCGTCAGGTTCACGGTGCCCATCGACGCCAGCTGCCGCCGCGCGCCGTGCTTGTCCACGGTGACGCCCATGGTCGCGCCGCCGCCGCCGCGGGACGACCAGGCGCAGCCCCGATTCACGCGTTACAGTGGATTTATACGGCCGAGGTTGCGGGAAAGATGCATTGTCAATCGCGGTTTCAGTGCAGCATGATGGGGAACCGCGAGGCTCCTGGTCGTCCTCGTGGCCTCGACGGCTGCGGTGTTGACGAAGCGCAGCAACTGCCGCGCCGCCGCGTCGTATCAGCCGCGGCTCTGGTTCGTCGGCACGTCCAAGAGCGGGTCGACGAGCCTGGCGAACTACCTGCTGGCCCATCCCCTCGTGACGGCCGTGGGCAGTAGGCATCGCGCCGCCGCCGAGGTCGACCTCCTCGAACGGGCCACGTTTCTGCCGTACGGACCCGGCGCGCGGTATAACAAGCGGCTCGTCGCCGTGGAGAAGGACGGCTACGCGCCGGCGGGCGGGCTCGACGGCGTGCTCGACGAGGTCGACGGACGCGTCGGCCTGCGCCTCTCGGCCCTCGCCCCGGAGCGGCGCGCGGCCTTGGAGGCGCGCGGCGTGGTCATGTATTATCGGCCGCACGAGCTCTTCCTCCCCGGCGCGCCCGGCGCGGTGTGTTCGCTGGCGCGGGGCTACCTGCGAGGGGCCGTCCGTTGCGGCCACGGCGGCATGCGGTACCTGGTCACGCTGCGGGAGCCCGCGGCCCGCGCCGTGAGTAGCTGGTGGTACCACGACGGCTCGCAGGGCAAGGCGCAGAGCCTTCCCGGTCCATGGCCTTTGGCATCGCGGCCGCTGACCTGCTGGAGGCGTGCTACAACGCGTCGGCCGCGAACGTCGAGGAGCGCTACCGCGCCGTCTGGGCGCGGAGGGGCGCATCGGAGTCCGACACGAATTTCGACCGCTGGTCCGAGGCCTACGAGGTCGCGACGTCCTGCTCCAACCGGCTCCTCAACACGGGCACCTCGGAGCTGGGGGTCGAGGCCGGGGCGGGAAAAGAGAGCGAAATTCAAAGGCTCCTATCTCGGTCATTTTCCACTCGTTTCGGCTGATTTTTGGACGAGCGATCATCCTTCGGAGCGCTCTCGAAGCGTGGATGCGTTTTTGAGAACGCGCGCGCGCGAAAAGCTCACGTTGAGGCGACGTCGAATCACTCGTTTCCTGCCCAGCTCAAGGCCCACGTGGGCAAGTCGCTCTACGCGGAGCAGCTCGCGCACTGGTTCGCGCGCATCCCCGAGGAGCTCTTCTGGCTGGAGGCGCTGGAAGATTTCGCCGCCGAGCCGCGACGGGCCTTCGAGCGCGTCCTCGAGTGGCTCGGCCTCCCCGCCTACGGCAGGGCAGGAAAAGGGTGATTCAACGTCGCTTCAACGTGAGTGTTCCGCGCGCGCGCGTTTCGGAAACAGCACCCACGCTTCGAGAGCGCTCCGAGAGATGATCGCTCGTCCAAAAATCAGCCGAAACGAGCGGAAAACGACCGAGATAGGAGCCTTTGAAGTTGGGAATTTCGCACCCTTTTCCTGCACAGGCCTACGGCGCCGACGGCTTCGCGGGCGCGTCGGCCCTCGACGACGTCCTCCGCGTGCGCCACAACGCCGCCGAGCACCCCCGGCGGCCCGAGGATCGCGCGGTCGTCGCGACCCTCGAAGGCTTCTTTCGACGGCCCAACGCGCGGCTACAGCTCCTCCTCACGGGCGAGCTCGGCGACGGGACCTGGGGCTCCGTCAGGACCGTCCTGCGCGACCGGCGCGCCGACCTCCGGCCGCCAGCCGAAGCGCCGCCCTTCGTCGACCCACCGTGCAACGCGAGCGACCGGAGGCAGTCTTCCGCATCTCGCGCGCGGCATCTGCGAGCCGCGGCCACACATGAATTAGAAGAACCACCACCAATTCGATAACACGCGACTGAACGCGACCCCACTAGTCGGGCACCGGCGCCAGCCGGGCCGCTTCGAGCGGGATCCTCTTGTTCGCGAGGCGCGCGGCGCACGTCTTGCCCGGCGCGTAGCCCGGGGGCGAGGCCCCGCCGTTGGGCGCCCTGGCGTGGTCGATCCCCGGCTTCTGTCGACACCACTTCAGCGCGCCGAGGGCCAGCGCGAGCTCCCGGGGCGCCTCGCCGACGTCGACGGCCCGCCCGCAGTCCCAGGCGCCGCCCCGCCGGACGCACTCCTGGAGCGGGAGGGGGCCCGCGCCGTCGAGGTCCACGACGAGCACGTCCGCCGCCGCGAGCGCCGCGTCCGCTGCGGCGACGGCCCAGACGTCGCGCACCTTGTCCGCCGCCTTCCCGCCCAGATCGTACGATCGCGCCGGCGGCGGCGGCGCGGCGTCCGCGGCCGTCGCGAGGTCCGCGAGGTCCGACGCCGTCGCGGTCACAGATGCCAAGTTCCGGGGTGGGAGCGCGGCCCGTCCGTCGCGCGTCACGGCGAGCGTCGCCGTCGTCGCGTCCGGGGCGACGTCGAGGCGCGCGTTCGAGAAGAACGTCGACTCGCGCCACGACCGCTCGCCCCCGAGGAACGCCTCCACGCTCCGCAGGTCGAAGTGGTCCGCGGCGTAGTGGAACTGTTGAAAATCGAAGATCGTCGGCAGCACGAGGACGCGGCCCGTGACGCGCGCCAAGAACACGAGGTGGCACAGCGCCGCCACGACCCAGGTCATCGAGTGGTAGCGCGGGTCGTCGGACGTGCTCAGCAGGTTGTTCGCGTAGACGAGGTATTTCGGGGCCCCGCCGCCGACGGCGTAGTAGCCGTCCGCGCCGGGCCACATACCCAGTTCACGCGCCACGTCGGTTTTGGCCCTCGCGTCCGTCAGCGGCGTGTTCGTGAGCACGTGGATCCCGACGGTCGGCGGCAAGACGAAGGGCGAGGGGTGCGCGGCCAACACGTCGCCGCCGAGCACCGAGAAGGAGACGCGGTGGGGCGGCGTCGTCCAGGGGCTCAGAATCGAGTCGTTTTTCGCGCCGAGCGCGCTCTTCGAGTTCCCCTCGCGCGTCTCGCACTCGTGGCGGTGGTGGCCCGGCGTCGCCAGGGCCCGCTTGAGCATGCAGTTGAGCACCTGCTGGTCGAAGACCGTTGGGTGCGCCGCGGTGTAGCGGTCGAGGTCCTCGAAGAGCGCCGCGACGTCGGCATGCTTCGACCGCGCGTGGTACCAGCCCGCGTTGAACTCCATGCAGTTGTCCTGGTGCGCGCCGATGACGACGTCCGCGTCCGCCGGGTCCGCGAGACCCTCGGAGCACGCCTCGCCCGCGCAGGACGCGGCCGCGAGCGGGTCGCCGATCAAGAAGACGTCCATCTCGCCGAAGGTCACGTCGAGCCCGGCCCGGAGCAGCGCCGCCATGGTCCCGTACTTGGCCGCGTAGACCGCCGCCTTTTTTCGTCGGCGCGCGCCGGTCCCGTTTTTCTCGGCGGCTTCGAACCGCGCGACGGCCGCGCCCGCGGCGCAGGCCGCGGCCGCCGCGTCGTCGTCGAGCGCGACGACGAGGAGCGGCGTCGATGCGCCGTAGGCCCGCGACACGTCGAGCGCGTGGTCCGCGAGGCCCGCCGCGTAGTGGCCGTCGGCGACGGTGAACGCGACGCGCGGCCGCGCGCGCTCGGAGCGCCGTTTCGCGTCCGCCGCGAACGCCGCGAGCGCGTCGGCGAGCGGCAGGCGCGCGGTCGCCTCGCACCGCGCGTCGCCCCGGCGAGGCGCGGCGAAGCGGTCGCGGCGCGCCGGTCGCAGCGCGCCGCCCTTTCCGGGTGCCACGACGTCCGCGAGGACCGCGGCGCGCGCCGCGGCGTCGACGGTCGCCGGGCTCGCGGCGCCGCCGGTCGCCCGCCGCCGCGGCCCGCGCGCGGCGACGACGCGGCAGGCCTGCGCCTCGCCCGCGGAGCACGGCGCGAGCGCCGCGAGCGCGGCCCGCCGCCGGAGCTCCGGCGCGGCCGCGGGCGACCCGCGGCGGAGGGCCGCGAGGGCGGCCTCGGCCTCCTGGGCGCGGCGCCACGCGAGGGACGCCTCGGCGTGGGCGGCGGCGACGTCGCGCTTCGATGTCTCCTGCAGGGTGTCGTCCCCGTGGACCATGCGACTCGATTGGTACACGACGAACAACGCCGAGACGAGCGCCACGACGACGACGCATTTCAGCGTGACGCGCGCCGGACGCCGCGATTTGGCCGCCATGTCGCCCCCCCTCGCGCAATTTTTTGCCGCAACCTGGCGACTCGCCCAAAATGCATAAGGCCATGCACAGAGCATCGAAACCGCACGCCTAAAGCGCCGCGCCGCGCTCGGAACGAAAGTGGAGTTAATTTGAGGAGTATATGAAAACAGGGCTATCCTCCATGACCACGACTGAGGCGCCGGGCCCCCAGAATCTTGACGATGCTGTGACGATTGAGGGCTCAGACCGAAGCCTTTCTAAGGACTGTCTTTTCGAGTGCCTCCTCTTCGTGCCCCATTACGCCCTGAGCCGCACCGCTATCTTGGTCTGCAAGCAGTGGCACGCGCTCTACGAGTCGCCTGAGTTCCGCAAGGCCCGCGAGATCATCGACGACGACGCGCAGCGGTGCCCCGTCTGCCTCATGGCCTGGAATGTCAACGTTCTTACACGACCATTGGAGGAGGGTGCGTCCTACGATCAAACGAAAACAGTCCGTGAATGTTGCTGCAAGTACACGTGCTACGCCTGCTATCGGAAAGCGAGGCGCTGCGCGTGCCCGCTCTGTCGAGTGCCGTGTGCGCTCACTGTACAGCAGAAGTCGACGAGGCTTCGAAATCACGCGGAGAAGGGCAATCCAGTGGCGATCTACGAGCTCGCGGACCAATTAGAAAACGAAGGGCAGTTAAGGGAGGCCGCGCGGCTCTACCGCCTGGCCGCAGACAAGGTTCCAGAGGCGGCATACGAGCTCGGAGAAATCTACGAAGATCCCGACGTCAGTACTTACGGCCTCGTGAGAGACGAGCAGAAGGCGGTCGACTTCTTTCAGATGGCCGCGGAACGAGGCCACGCGAAGGCGCAGTGCGAGTTAAGCGACCGTTTATCCGGCACTGCCGCGGCAGAGAGTTTTCAATGGCTCAAACTGGCTGCGGACCAAGGTTACACACGAGGGGAATACGAAATGGGTCGCCGCTACGAGCGCGGCGACGCAGTTGTCAAAGACTTCACCGAAGCCCGGCGCTGGTACGAACGCGCGGCCGCCAAGTGGCTCGATCCTGGGCGCGGGCGCGTCTACTCCTGCGCCAAAAGTGCACTGAGGGCACTCGGGCGGCTTCGTCGTCGTGAGGCTGATCCCGGGTACCTTACCCCCACAGATACCGAATAAGCCCCTCGCGCAGAGACGCTCTAACGGCACGCACGCGACGGGGTCCCACAGCGCCCCCTATCACACTGAACAAACTCACGCCGCCTTAACCTCGCGCCCGCTGGTCCGGCGCGCGGCGGCGGCGCCGAGGGGGTCGTTGGCGACCTGGATGGGGTCGGCCGCGTCGCCGCGCGGCCGCGGGCCCGCGTCGTCGACGGCCGGGAGCGCGGCGAGCCCCCCCAGGGGCGCGCCGCCGCCCGGCCAGCGCGCGTCGAGGTCGCCGAGGCTCCGCCGCGGCTTCTCGGCGGGCTTCCTGCCCCGGAGCGCCGCGAGCGCCGCGGACGCGGTCGTCGGCCGCGACGCCGGGCCCGCGTAGACCGTCGACGAGTCCGCGAAGCCCCGCCAGGCGCTCTGGAGCAGCTCATTGCGCGCCGACGACGTGCCCGGCCGCTGGTCCGTCGCCGGCACGTAGGTGCCCGAGCTCAGCGTCTCGCGGCGCCGCGGCTCCGGCTCGCGCGACCGCGGCCGCTCCGTCCTCCGCGACTCGTCGGCCTTGCGGAGGCTCGCGCGCCGCGGCGGCGCGTCCTCGGCCTCGCCCAGGGCCGTGTTCAGCGCGCCGAGCAGGTCGTCGCGGCTGCCGCGCCGGCCGCGGAGCGGCCGCGCGCGCGAGCCCGGCCGCCCCGCGGGCGGCGCGGGCGCCGTGGCGTCGTTCGTCGGCGCCCGCTTCGGGCGCTTCGTCGCTGCCGCGGCCAGCGGGTCGAGGCCCCGCGACGCGGGCCGCGGCACGAGGCCCGCCGCGCGCACGTCCTCCGCGCGCGACGTCGCGGCGAACGACGACTTCCGCTGCCCGGACCCGAAGCTCGGCCGCCGCGCGACGGGCGTCGCGCCGACCTTGTTGAAGCCGCAGCCGTCGTGGTCGATGGCGGGGATGTCGCCGAGGGGGTGCGCCGGCGCCGGCGCCGCGGGCCGCGACTCGCGCGTCCGCGGCCGCGGCGCGGCCGGCCGCTCCGCGCGTCTCACGGAGCTCGGCCGTTTTACGGAGCTCGGCCGGCTCGCGGGCCGCGGCGCCGCGGGCTGCCGCCGCTTCGGCGACTTGTCGAGGCTCTCGCAGAGGTAGTCCGAAATGAGCATGGTCTTCGCCGACAGGTTCACGTTGACCTCCGCGTGGCCTGCGCGGACATCGACCATCGAGCCGGGGCGTCCCGACCAAACTTTGAAAAAATGCTCGAGCTCAAATCGCAGTCGATTCGGCCGATTGTTGGACGGATCGATGGCGCTCATCGAGTGCTCGAAGCACGGCCGAAGCGTCCGGCGCACTCCGTTCACATTGAAGTCGGGTTGAAGATTCGAGTCCCGCGCGGCGCGCGGCTCAGCGCCTGCTGCACGCGGAGCGCCTCCCACTTCCGCCGCTTTTTGGTGAGCGCGATCATGAGCTGGCGCGTGACCTCGTCCTCGAACATGAGGGTCAGCACCGCCGACGTGCCCGCGAAGTAGGCGCTCGAGGCCTTGGTCGCGTAGGCCGACCGGCTCATCTCGCGCCGTTCTTCGACGTGCTCGCAGACCCCGAAGACGTCGCCCGCGCCCAGCAGCGCCAGCTCGACCTGGCGCCGCTCCGTCGGCGCCTTCTCGTTCTCCTTCTCCTTGTCGAGGTGCGTCTGCACGCGGATCTCGCCGCCGATGAGGAACCAGACGCCCGCAGCCGGCTCGCCCGACGTGCAGACGTAGCGGCCCTTGGCGCACTTGTAGGACCGCAGGCTCTGGGCGAACTCGTAGCGCTTCTCGTCGGACCAGTGGCGGAAGAGGGCGCAGTTCTCGAGCCAGTCGATCTTCCGCCGGAGCTGCGACTTGATCGACAGCTCCATGAGCTTCAGGTAGACGTTCGCGGAGCTCACGAGGCAGATCGTGCGCTCCGCGGCGACGACGGACGCGGACCGCACGGCCTGGCGGTCGCCCTGGAAGCCGAGCTCGCCGAAGCCGCAGCCCGTGGCCAGGTCGCAGATGTGGATGCCCCGCTTGTCGTAGAAGGCCTCGCCCTCGCCGCCGTCGTCGCCTGGCAGGAAAAGGGTGATTCAAGTTCGCTTCAACGTGCGTGTTCTGCGCGCGCTCGTTCCCAAAAAAGCATCCACGCCTCGAGATCGCTCCGAGAGATGATCGCTCGTCTAAACGTCAGCCGAAACGAGTGGAAATCAGCCGAGATCGGAGCCTTTGAAGTTGGGAATTTCGCACTCTTTTCCTGCCCTGGTCGTCGCCGGCCTCCTCGCGCTGCTTCTGCACCTCCTCCTCGCTGAGCTTCGTCGCCTTCCAGATCTGCACGCTGCCGTGGAGGATGTGGTAGTAGCCGTCGGGGAAGTCGCCCTCCTCGAAGATCGTCTCGAACGCGCCGTACCTATCGGACGCTCGTGACGACGGCCCCTCGAAGACGCGATCGTCGCCGCGCCGCCGCGCGACTCCTTGATGGTCAGGTCCTCGATGAACTGCTCCTGGTGCTGGGGCACCTTGTCGAGGATGTCGCTGTCGACGACGTTCATCTGGTTGACGATGTTCGCGAGGCGCGACTTGGGCGTCTTGCGCTCGCTCAGCAGCTGGAGCAGCTTGCGCACGGAGTAGGGGATGAGGTTGTCGCTCTCGACGTCCGTCAGCGACGCCATGGACGGCCGCCGCGGCATGGTCGAGGGTCGGGTGTCAACTCCGCGCGCGCGCAGAGAGCCGAGCCTCCTGGCTGCCCGAGAGCAGCCCGAGGACTGAAACGCATGGAGCAACAAGATATTGGACTAGTTATTGAAGGGGGTGCGCACCCGAAGATCCCGCCCGGAGGCTCAGACGGAGGCGTAGCCGATATTGCGGCTGGAGGTGAGTTCATCATCGGCGACCAGTGGCAATTCGATCGCGGCAGCAAACGCTCGGCAGCCTCTCCGCCCGCCGTCCCGCGCGCGTGAAACCCGTCCGCCACACACTACACCATGGCCGACGCCGAGGAGAAGAAGGGCGACATCACGGACTCGGCGCCCGCGCCGGAGGTCCAGCCGCCGTCGACCCAGGACGTGGCCGACGCCCTCAAGGTGCGCGCCCCGCCCCGCGGCCGCGCGACGCGCGACCGCGCGCGACGCGCGACCGCGCGGCCCACCCCGCTCGCGCTCTCCTAGGCGAACGACGAGGTCCAGTCGACGATGCACGTCCAGAGTCTGCCCATCCGCGCGTACCTCGACACGACCGTCGTGCCGATCCTGCTCGACGGCATGTCCGCGCTCGTCAAGGAGAGACCACCGAACCCGGTAGAGTGGCTCGCCACCTACCTCATCAAGAACAACCCCCAGGGCTCCACGGCCAACAGCTAAGGCGGCCGCGCCGCGGTCCTCGCGCGCGAAACCGCCGCCCGCGAAACCCCCCCTTCTTATCTTCTTTAGTAAACACCCGCCTTCGTCCTTGCTCTTAGTGGCGGACCTCCGTGTCGAGGAACTCGTAGCGCGTGTCCGGCTGGCCCGGCAGGCGCGTCCGGAACCGGGCGAGGCCGTCCGGGAGCCGCTGGACGCCCCGGACCTGCTGGAGGATGAGCGCGGCGACGTGCGTCCGGTCCGGGTCCGCGACCTGGGCGTGGGACAACGTGTGCGTGCGCACGATGACCGGCAGGTGCGGGTGCGCCGCCTGGCCGCTGAGGTAGGGCACGGGCGACCCGTCCGCGTAGACGCAGGGCACGATCGCCGCGAGCGCGCCGTTCGAGGCCGTCGCCCACGGCTGGGAAACGAACGCGGCGACGGCGGCCTCGTTGACGTCGACGTCGGCGTCGACGAGGAGCGTCCAGTCCGCGTCCCAGTGCACGGGGTCCGGGAAGTCCGCGGTCTCGACGCGGACCGTCGGCGGCTTCGCGGGCGCCGGCGGTTTCGCGAGCACGTCGGCGAGCAGCGCGTCCATGCCCGCGGCGACGGCGGCGGAGCTGAACGTCGCCTCGAGCCAGGCCTTGGCCTTCGCCGCGGCCGCGTCGGCCTCGTGCCTGGGCCGCGCGCGCAGGCGGTGGAGCGCGGCCGCGACGCCGTCGACGTCCGGCGTCGCCACCATGCCCCCCGCGAGCCACTCCGTCTGCCGGTAGGGCACGGCCTCGCCGTTGACCGTGTAGTCGGCCATGGCCGCCGTCTTCGTCGTGACCACGGGCGTGCCCATGAGCTGGCACTCGAGCACGTTCAGGCCGAAGCCCTCCGTTTTTGAGGGATGGAGGCACGCCTGGGCAGGAAAAGGGTGCGAAATTCCCAACTTCAAAGGCTCCTCTCTCGGTCGTTTTCCGCTCGTTTCGGCTGATTTTTGGACGGGCGTTCATCTCTCGGAGCGCTCTCGAAGCGTGGGTGCTGTTTCCGAAACGCGCGCGCGCGGAACACTCACGTTGAAGCGACGTTGAATCGCCCTTTTCCTGCCCCGAGGCACGCGTCCGCGGCGCGCTTGAGCCCCGCGACGCGCGGGGGCGCGTGGAGCGCCTCGTCCAAAGTCCAGGCCGCCGCCGGCAGGCCCGTGGCCCAGAGGTAGTGGCGCAGCGGCACGCCGTTGGCCTTGGCCGTCGGGGGCGCCGCGCGCGACCGCTCGGCCTCCGCGATGCGCAGCGACGAGATGCCGTGGACGTACAAATGCGGTTTGTCGTCGTCCGGCGACTCGGCGTAGAACTTGGCGAAGGCGAGGATGCCCTGCATCCAGCCCTTGCGGTCGCTGGCCTCGTAGTTGCCGCCGCACATGAGCACGGTGTAGTTCGCCGGGAAGTCGACAACGTCGACGCTCTTCGGCGCCTCGACCTCGTGCGGCACGTGGCGCGCGACGGGGCCGCCGGGGCCGAGCTGCCGGGCGATGGCGGCCGTCGCCGTGGGCGCGAGCGGCGCCACGGCGCTCAGGCCGCGCGCGAGGTAGAGGTCCGGCGGCGCGAGGTCCTCGAAGTGCGACGGAAACCACGCGATCATCGGAACCGCCGGCGCGGCGTCGCGGAAGAGGTTCGACCCGTCGAGGAGCGTGACGAAGGCGTCGACGCCGAAGGCCGCCGCGAGCTCGTTGAGGCGCGACAGCGACGTCTGCGTGCCCGACCGGCCGTTCAAATCCTGCGTCGGGCCCCGGCCGAGCCAGTCGAGGTGCGCGACGTCGAGGTCCGGCGCGGGCAGGCCCAGCGCCGCGCAGTAGGCGTCCACCGTCGCGTAGCGCCGCTCGGGCACGACGTGGTGCGGCGACAGGTTCAGCCACGACACCGCGTGGCCGAGCCGGTGCAGGCCCAGGGAGAGCAGGTACTGCTGGCGCTGGTAGGGGCCGAACTGCCAGGGCAGGCCCGGCGCGACGAGGGCGATCCTCTTGGGGGCCGCGCACTGGGAGGTCTCCTGCCCAGTGATGATTGCGAGCGCGAGGGAGACTGCGAGCACTGTTCTAGGGGTCATGGCCACCATCGCGCCGGGCGAGGGCGCGGCACGCCGCGGAGATGAACATGTTGCCGAGATCTTGCCGAGGAAGAAGCCGGCCGCTTGCACCCGAGCCGGCTTCGCCTGTCGCCGCCGGCGCAGCCATCGGCCTCGCCGGCTGCGCGCAGCGATGTCGAGCGAGAGCGCGCTGTCAGAGGCATCGATGGAGCCCGCCGACGCTCCCCCGCCGAGCGCGCCGCCGAGCAGCGCCGGCGACGCGCCGCCGGCCCTGGAGGAGAAGCTCGTATCCGGCTCGTCCGCCGGCGTGTCCGCCGCCGTCGCCGGCGAGAGCGCCTGCGACGCGACGCCCGCGGCCCCGCCGCCGGCCCTGGGCGCGTCCGCCGCCCCGGCCGGCGCGTCGCCGGCGCTCCCGGCCGCGGCCGCGGCGGCGCCGTCGCCGTTTCCCGAGAGCGGCGACCCGACCGCGGGCGCGGCGCCCCCGGACGCGCGCCTGCCGCCGCCCATGGCCCACTTCCCGAGCGCGCTGCTCGGCGCGCGGCCGCCGCCCATGCAGCTGCCCAAGGGCGCCTACGGCTGGGACCAGGCGCGGCTCGTCTTTCCCGGCGGCGCGCCGCCGTACGGCGGCCCGAGCGGCGACGCGCCGCCGCAGGCCGTCGCCGCGGCGCCCTGGGGCCCCGGCCCCTTCTTCCGGCCGGGCTTCCCCTACTTCGACCCGAGCCAGCTGCCGCCGCGGTCCGGCGCGATGGGCGGCCAGCTCCGGCGGTGGGACGCGCCGCCCGGCGGCCCGCTCTACCACCCGGGCCTGCACCCCATGGCGCTGCAGAACCCCATGCCGGACTACTACCACCTGCCGCTGCCGCTCGACGGCGCGCCCGCGCCCGCGCCGGGCCTCGCGCCGCCCTACGATCTGGGCGCGGCGCCGCCGTGGGCGCCGCCGCCGCCGCCCGCGGACGCGGCGCCGCCCGCGGGCCTCGCGCCGCCGAAGCCGAGGGCCAAGAGCCCGCGGCCCGTCGTGAACATCGCGCCCGCGCCGCCGCCGACCAACGGCCAGGCGCCCGCGGGCCAGCGGTTCCTGCGGCCGTCGGAGCTCTTCGCGAACGACTACCGGTCCGCGGTCCGCGCGGAGCACCCGGGCTACCTCGACCGCGCCGTGCGCAACCGGCTGAGCGCCATGTGGCGCCACGTCGACGCGGGCACGCGCGCGTCCTACGTCGACCGCGCGCGGCGCGAGCGCGAGAAGGCGCGGCTCCAGGGCCGGGGCTACGCGCCCGCGGCGCCGCGCGAGGACGACGAGGAGCTCGACGAGGACGACCGCAAATTCGACGAGGAGTCGGCCTACGCGCCGCCGCCGCCGGCCGTGGTCAAGAAGCCGCCGCGGCCCAAGGCGGGCGCCCAGCGGCCGAACGGCGCGGCGCCGCGCCGCGGCGGCGCGGGCGCCGCGGGCCTGCAGCCGGGCCAGGCCGTCTGCTGCGCCAACGACGCGTCGCGGCGCGGCGTCGTCGTGAAGCAGACCGCGGGGTCCTGGCTGTTGGTGCGGTTCGCGCGCGGCGGCGAGACGAAGGCGCGGCCGTCGCAGCTGCGCGCGCTCCGCGCGGACGAGGCCCTGAGCGCGGACGAGCGCGCGGCCCTGGCCGCGCCCTTCGACGCCGTGCGCGACGTCCAGGACGCCATCGACGCCGACGTGCGCGTCGCGAGCTCCGACGGCGGCTTCCTGCCGAACGCGTACGTCGACAAGGGCGGCGAGCGGCGCTTCCAGTTCGTCGCGTACAAGCTCGACGGCGACAACGGCGGCGTCGGCGTGCGCTGCGACGTCTGCGATTTGGAGCAGGTGCTGCCCGAGTCCGCCGTCGCCGACGGGTCCCGGGGCAAGATCGTCCACGCGCTGAAGAGCCACTGCGGCTACTACGCGGCGCGCTCCGGGGAGGACAAGAGAGATGCAACGTCGCTTCAACGTGAGCGTGCCGCGCGCGCGCGTTCCGGGAAAACGCATCGACGCGTCGAGGCCGGTCCGAGAGATGATCGCTCGTCCAAACATCAGCCGAAACGAGTGGAAACCGGCCGAGATCGGAGCCTTTGAAGTCGGGCATGTCGCTTTTTTTTCCCAGGCGTGCTCCATGTCGGCGTCGAACGCGCACATCGCCGCGCTCCAGGACCGCGTCGCCGAGACGTTGCGGCGCGGCATGCCCGGGGACCACCTGAGCTCGGCCCAGGCCGCGGCGCAGTCCAAGTTCGGCGGGTCCTGGGCGGGGGCTTTGGCGGACGCCGCGCCCAGGGCCAAGGCCGTCGCGCCGCCGGGGTCGCCGGGCAAGAACGGGCGCAAGCGGCCCCTCGTGCGGCCGACGGCCCAGCGCTGCGGCGCCTGCGGCGCCTGCCGCGCGAAGAAGGGCGCGCCGTGCGCGGAGCGCGGGTTCTCGGGCGCGCCGCCGTCGCCCGCGGCCGACGACCGGCCGCCGCCCAAGGCCTCGAAGAAGGCGCCCAAGGTCGCCCCGGCGCGCAAGCCCGTCGGCAAGGGGGCCAAGGAGGCGCCGCCGCCCCCGCCGTTGCCCGACGCGGGCTACGAGTCCGCCGCGTCCGACGTGTCGTCGACGCTGGGCTGGGTCGTGCAGGTGCCGCCGTGGGACGAGGCCGCGCGCGACGCGTACCTCGCGAACCCGCCCCGCGCGTCGTCGAACGACTTCTACGAGCGCATCTGGGAGCCCTACCCCGGCGACGACGCGCACCTCGCCGCCGCGCGCGGCTCCGCGGCTTTGAAGAGCGGCGAGCGCCTCGACGACGTCGCGCTGAGCCGCGCGCTCGCCGCGCGGCAGAACGACCCCGACGCCGCGGGCGCGCGGTGCCGCGAGGCCCTGGACGCTTTGGCGAAGCGCCGCGGCGGCTCGGGCTTCGGCGACCACGGCTGGGTCAAGGGGAGCTCGGGCGCGCTGTCCGCGAAGGAGAAGGACAAGGCCAAGGGTTTGTTCGGAGACGACCCCGCGGAGCCGGGCGCTCTCGCGGAGCTGCGGAGCGACGTCAAGACCGTGGCGAAGGCGCTCTGCCGGTCGCCGGGCGACGTGCTGAGCTTCTACTACGCGCAGTACGAGCCCGACAAGGCCATCGACCTCTCGCCGGACCCCAAAAAGACGAAGGAGGCCATGGGGATTTCTTTTTCCTCCTGGCTCAAGACGGGGCCGTCGAAGCACGAGGCCGAGGGCGACGCGCCGCCGCCGCGCCTGGACGTCGACGACGCGATCCTCGCCAAGGCCATGGAGGCCGCGGGCGACCGGAAGCCGACGGTCAAGGTCGCGCGGAAGCCGCGCGCCGCCGCCGACGTCGAGGCCGAGCCGCCCGCGGACGACCCCGCCGCGGAAAAACCGCTCGTCGCGGCGCCCCGGGGCGCGCGGTCCTGCGTCGCCGTCGCGGGCGCCTTCGCCTTCGACGGGCGCGCCTGGTACCTCGCGCCGCGGGGCGCCGCGGACGGCGCGAAACGCGTCGCGGAGCTCCTCCGGCTCGACGCCGCGCAGCTCGCGCACGCGCAGGGCCACTTCCTCGGCGCGGCGGCGGCGGCGCCCGGCGGGGCGCTGCTCCTGCCGACGCTCCCGTCCGCCCCGCGGCCGACGCCGCCGAGCCGCCGCGACGTGTCGCGGCGCCTCGCGTGCGAGGGAGGCGAGGTCCTCGAGGTCGGCTCGCTCACGTACGGCGCGCGGCTCTGGTACGCGCCGCGGCCCGAGGAGTCGCTGGTCCGCGCGGCGGCGCGGCTCGCGAGCCTGAATTTGGACGGCGCGTCCTACTTCCCCTCGAGCGGGCGCGACCTGTCGGCCGCGGCGCTGTCCGGCTTCGGCGGCTGCGCGCGGTCCGCGCCGCGCGCGGCCTTCCACGCGGCGCCGCTCACCGACGGCGCGGCGCGCCGCGCGGCGGAGGAGCTCTGGCTCGAGCAGCTGGCCTACTGCGACGCCGGCGACGCCTGGGCGGCGGCCTTCGACGCGGACGCGGCGGATCTAGGCGATCGGCTGCCCGAGAAACTGAAGACCGCGGGCGCGCCCTTACTGCTCGTGCCCCTGCCCCGGCGCGACGCGGCGGCGTCGGACGACGACGACGCCCCGAACACGGCCATTGCCTGGCCCGTCGTGCGGCGGCGCGTCGCGGGGAGCCGGGCGCGCGTCGCCGCGACGCGGAAACCGACGTCGGAATCCGACGACGACGACGAGTCGTACTCCGCGCGGCGCGCGCGCGTCGTCTGCGTCGTGCCGCCGGACCCGTCCTGGTTCGAGGCGCCGCCGGACGGGAGCGGCGCCGTCGTCTTCGTGGAGTCGGGCGACGCGGACTTGCGGCGCGCGTGGGTGCGGCCGGGCGCGCCGTCGGCGGCGAAGGCGGAGAGCCCGCCCGACGGCCCGCGGCCCGGGGGCCCGCCGCGGCGGCGCCAGCAGGAGAGCCCGGCGCCGGCGCGGCCGGACGCGGCGCTCGACGCGCGGACGCTGGCGGGCGTCGCCGTCGACCTGGACTGCGACCACGCGATCCTCGAGCGGCGGAACCGAGACGCGGCGGCCGCGTTCCGCGCGGACGCGCCCGGCTCCGGCGAGAGCGCCTACGGCGCCGGGTTGCTGCTCTACGGCGGGCCCGTATCCGCGGGCGGCGACCGGTGCCGGCCCTGCGCGGCCTGCCGCGTCCGGGGCGACGCGACGGGCTACCGGTGCCGCTTCGCGCAGCGCCACCGCGACCCGGACTTCTGCCGCGCGCCCGCGGGCGGCTTCGTCGCCGGCGCGAGCCGCGTGCGCGTGCGCTGGATCGACGAGGACGACCCGTCGTCCGTGTCCTGGCTCTTCGCGACGGTGCGGCGCGTCCTGCCGCCGGGCGGCGACGCCGGCGGCGACGCGAAGGAGGAGGGCGCCGCGGGCGGCGACGCGGGCGACGCCGCGGCGGCGCCGTCCGGCCCGCGGCTCGAGATCCGCTACGACGACTACGACGACGAGGACCCCGTGGGCCGCGACGTCGTGCCCTTCCCCTGCCCGAACGACGAGGTCGTCGCGTGCGGCCCCGCGCCGCGCCGGTTACTGGAAGCGGACGACGAGCGGCACAGGGGCCGCGTCTTCGCCTGGAAGCGGGGCGCGCCGCGCGAGAAGCGCGAGCCGGGCCGCTGGCGCGTCGCCGACGTCTTCGACTCCGTCGAGGAGGGGAGCGACGGTTTGGTCGCGACGTTCTCGCGCGCGGCCGACGGCGAGTCCGCGACGGCGCCGCGGCGCGCGGAGGCCCTCGGCGAGCTGCTGCGCTACGCGCGCTGGGACGACGAGAAGGCCGAGTCCGCCGGCGCGAAGCGGCCGGGCCCGAAGAAGTCGCCGCCGCCGGCGAAGAAGCGGGCGAAGCCCACGGAGAAGCCCGCCAAGGAGTTCGACCGCGCCGCGGACCGCGAGGTCGCCGCGCGCATGGCGCCGGGGACGGACGCGCCGAGCCCCCGGAGCCCCGGGCTGCCCGCGGGGGCGTCGCCGCGGCCGCCGTCGTCGTTGGGCCGCGGCGAGTCCGCGTCCCCCGACGGCCGGTCCGAAAGAACCCCTACCAAGGGCCCCTGGGCGCCCGAGGAGGACGCGCTCGTCGTCGAGCTCGTGGAGCGCCACGGGCCCAAGAAGTGGTCCACGATCGCCGCGCACCTGCCCGGGCGCGTGTCGAAGCAGTGCCGCGAGCGCTGGCACAACGTCCTCGACCCGGAGATCTCGAAGCAGCCGTGGTCCGCCGCTGTGTGGAATTCAACCACTGGTTTTGGGTGGTCCTGACCAAACTTCAGAATTCTCTAGCTCGATCAAATCGAAGTCGATTCGGCTGATTTTTGGACGAATCGATTGCTCTCGTCGAGTTCTCAAAGCACAGCCGAAGAGCTTGCGTCGAAACTGTCGCATAGGACCGGGAGATCGTCGCCGCGCACGCGAAGCTCGGCAACCGCTGGGCGGAGATCGCCAAGCTGCTGCCGGGCCGCACGGACAACGCCATCAAGAACCACTGGAACTCGTCGATCAAGCGGTCCATCTCCGGCTCCTCGCCGTCGTCGACGAGTTCGCGGAGCCCGCCGCCGCGCCTCGGGCCGCCGCCGCCGCCGCGGCCGCTGGGCTTCCCGCCGGGCCCGGCCCTCGGCGCGCCGCCGCGGCCGCCGCCCCTGCCGGCGGCGCCGCCGCCGCCGCGGCCGCGGACGCCGCCGCCCGCGGCCCCGGCCGCGGCCCCGGCCGCGCCGCCCGCGCCGCTCGCGACGCCGCCGCCGCCGACCGCGGCCATGGAGGAGGGCTAAGAAGGCGTGCCACATGTCGAGCCTCACTGGACCTCTGCTCGCCGGCGGGAGACGTTACCCGCGCGGCTCCGGAACGGGGCTCTAGGCGTCGCGCGGCGGGCAGCGCCGGGGGCAGAGCTCGCGCCAGGCGTCGAGGACCGCGGCCGGGTCGGAAACTACGGCGCCGCCCGGGAGCGTCACCGTCGCCGGCCCCGCGGCGACGTGGATCTTGCCCCGCTTCCAGGGGCCCGCGTACGCCGCGCCCGAGGGCAGCGTGTAGGTGCCCCGGCCGCTGAACTTGTCGTTGCGCCAGCCGCCCTCGAAGACGTCGCCCGACGCGAGCGTGTAGACGCCCCGGACGCGCTTGTTGTCCTCGAACTCGCCCTCGAAGACGTTCCCGCTCGCGAACTCGAAGCGGCCGCGGCCCGCGAACTTGTCGTCGCGGAGCTCGCCCGTGTATTTGTCGCCGGACGCGTAGGTGTACGTGCCCGCGCCGTGGCGCTTGTCGTCGACCCAGTCGCCGTCGTACGCGTGGCCGCTCGCGAACGTCATCGTGCCCTTCCCCGTGCGCCGGTCGTTGGCCCACGCGCCGTCGTAGACGCTCCCCGTCGCGAAGGTCTGGCGGCCCGTGCCGTGCTTGCGGTCGTCGACCCACTGGCCTTCGTAGACCTGGCCGTTGGCCTTGGTGAACGTCGCGCGGCCGTGGACCTGGGCGGGAAAAGAGTCCCAACTTCAAAGGCTCCTCTCTCGGTCATTTTCCGCTCGTTTCGGCTCATTCTTGGACGAGCGATGATCTCTCGGAGCGAGCGCGGATCCTTTCTCTGGAACGATCGCGCGCGGCACCCTCACGTTGAAGCGACGTTGAATCACCCTGTCTCCCGCGCGGCCGCGGACCTTGTCGTCGCGCCACTCGCCGGAGCACGTCGACCCGGACGCGAAGGTCATGGTGCCGACGCCGTTGGCCTTGCCGCGGCGGTGCTCGCCCTCGTAGACGCTCCCGGAGCCGAAGACGTAGCGGCCCGCGCCGTGGGGCGCGTCGTGCGCCCACTCGCCCTCGTACGACTCGCCCGACGCGTAGTCCATGCGCCCGACGCCGTGGCGCGCGCCGTCGCCGGCGCGCCGCTCGCCGACGTAGGACGGCGCGCCGGCGTGGACGTCGTCGTCGTCCTCGACGGCGTTGGCGTGGGCGCTCACGCTCCGCTCGCGGGCCGCGCTCTCCTCGGCGCCGCTCGGGCTCGCGGGGCCGTGGCGCACCTTGCGCGGGAGGCCGCCGTCGCTGCTGCAGCAGAGGAAGAGGCCCAGGCCGCCGCGCGGCGCCATCTCCGGGGCCTTCGGCGGCGGCGGGGGCGGGCTCTCGAGCGCCGCCATGGCACCGGGGCGAGTCGGGTGATTGGCCGAAGAGAAGGGCTGCCCTTCTCGAGCTCGGCGGCACTTCCTCACTTCACCCGCAGCTGCACCATTCACCTTGTCACTTCGAATCGGCGCAATGGAGGTCATCGACTTGGAGTCGGACTCCGACGGCGACGACCCGCCGCCGCCGACGGTGAAACCGACGCTGAAACATTGCCCGCGCTGCACGCTCGAGAACGCCATCGGCGCCAAGCGCTGCGAGGCCTGCGACCTCGCGTTCGAGCGGCCGGCGCCGGCGCCGCCTCGAACGCGCCCGGCGCCGGCGCCGCTCGACGCGCTCCAGGGCCTGGGGTCGACCACGCGCGACTCGCTGCGGGACTTCCGGCCGCCGGCGCCGAAGCCGGCGCGCGCGGCGTCGGAGGACGACTTCGTGCGGGGCTACGAGCCCGCGGCGAAGCGCGCCGCCGTCGCGCCGCGGCCCTCCGCGTTCGCGTACCACGACGACGCCGCGGCGCCGGCCTTCGTGCCCCTGAAGCCGAGCGCGCGCGCGCGCGGCCTCCAGCAGCGGGCGAAAGAGGAGAAGCGCGTTTCTGAGATCGACCGCTGGAAGTTCGGCGGCGACGACAGCGACGACGACTGGTGCACGCCGCGGCGGCCCGCGGCGCCCGAGCCCCGGAAGCCCCGGGCGGCGGCGAAGCAGGGCACGCTGTCGAACTGGCTGCAGACGGACCCGCCCGCGGCGCCGCCGGCGAGGGTCGAGCGGGTCGACGTCGCGTCGATGCCGGGAGCGACGGTGCTCCGGGGCGCGCTCGGCAGCGAGGTCCGCTCCTGGTCGAAGATCTTCGTGCCCTTGATCTACTGCGCGCTCGGCGACGTGCCGCCGCTGGCGGCGCGGCGCGTCGAGGGCCTGCTGTCGACGCGGCAGCGCGCGTCGACGCCGGACGACGTCGCGCGCGCGGCGGCCTGGTGGGCCGAGCGCCTGAGCCCGTGGCCGGCGTGGGTCGCGGCGATCCGCGGCGCCGCGCTCGAGGACCGCGACGCGTTCGTCGTGCGGGTCCTGGGGGACTGCAGGGGCAAGACGGCGTGCGTCTTCGGCGACGGCGCCGGCTACGGCTGGCTCCCGCACCCGCCCGCGCGGCAGCAGGAGCGCGTCATGCGCGACGCGGGCATCGACGGCGAGATCGCCGCCTGCGTCCTCACCGCCACGGCGAAGCCCTAAGTTTGTGCGATCATGTCGGCCGCGCGCGTTACCCGACGAAGGATATCGCGCGGCCGGGGGACTAGGAACCGCCGCCCTCGCCGGTCGCCTCGCCGGCGGCCGCGCGGAGGAGCCGCTCCTCGCGCTCGAGCTCGGCGAGCTCCTCGCGCGCGCGGCGGCGCATGTCGAGGAGCACGAGGTACTGGCGGTCGGCCTTGGTGAACTCGGCGCAGAGCGCCCTCGTCTTCTCCTCGTCGCACGCGACCTCCTGGCGAGCCGCGCGCTCGCGCCTCCGCCGCTCCACCTCCGGGTCCGGCGGCGGCGGCCCCGGCGGCGGCGGGCCCTGCCAGTGCTGGGGCGGCGGGCCCTGCCAGTGCTGGGGCGGCGGCTGGCCCTGCCAGTGCTGGGGCGGCGGCTGGCCCTGCCAGTGCTGGGGCGGCGGCTGGCCCTGCCAGTGGGGCGGCGGCGGCTGCCGCCCGTCCGGGCCCGTGATGCGCTCGAAGAGCGACCCGTCGCGGCGCGGCGGCGGCGGCCCGCGCGGCGGCCAGCCCGCGGCCGGCGGCGGCGGCCCGGCGTAGTAGCCGCGCGGCGGCGGGGCCCCGTAGAGCGGCGCCGGCCCCCCGGCGTAGGGCGCCCCGCCGGCGTAGGGCGACGGCGCGCCGCGCGGCGGCGGCGCTTCGCCCCGCGCCTCGAGGATGCGCTCGAAGAGCGTGCCGTCGCGGCGCGCGGGCGCGGCCGGCGCCGCGGCCGGCGGCGGCGGCGCCGCGGCGCCGCGCGGCGCCAGCGCGGCGACGCGCGCGGCCTGGTTCTCCCGCCCCCGCCGCAGGACCGCGAGCGCGTCCTCCTCGGCTTGCGCCCGCGCCGCGTCGCCGCGGCTCAGCGCGTCGACGACCTTCTTGAGCTGGCGGTAGAGCTTGCCCTCGGCCATGCGGCTCGCGCGGCACGCGCGGACCGCGGCGGCGGCCGCCCTATCGAACGTCGCGTCGACGTCGCGCACCTCCCAGCGCCAGAGCGACGCGTCGTTGGCGTCCTCGTCGCGCGACCCGTGCTGCCGCGGCTTCGCGCCGTAGGCCTTGCGCTCCGCGACGTCGCGGACCGCTTTCGCCGCGGCCGGCGCGGTCCACGGCGGGCCGAGCGCGGCCGCGACGGCGGCCGCGAGGAAGCCCAGCGGCAGGCGCGAGCCCTGGGCGAAGGACGCGACGACGGGCGCCGCGCGCGCCAGCCCGACGACGTCGCCGCGCGGCGGCTTGGACGGCAGCCGGAAGTCGCGCTCGCGGTCCGCCGGAACCGCCGCGGCGCGCACGAGCGCCGCGAGCTCGGCGCGGTACGCGCGCAGCAGCGCGGCCACGTCCACGGCCGGCGCCGGCGGCGCGCGCGGCGCCGCGGCAGCGCGCGCGAGGCCGCGCGTCACGGCGCCGGCGCGCGGCGACGCCGGCGCCGCGGCGGCGGGCGCTGGCGGCGCTGGGGCGGCGGGCGCCGCTGCGGCGGGCGCTGGCGCTTCCGCATCCGGCGCAGCGTCGCCGGCGGCCTCGCTCATGGGCGCGGCCTACACATCAACTGATCATCAACATGACAACTTACAGCGGTTCTTGAAACTCTCGAGACCACTTATGGTCTTCGCCTGACCGAGCCTCGTGGGACTTCGGCTCTCGAGCGAGGGTTTGCAGGCATGGGCGACCAGCAATCCGCGCCGCGGGCGACAGATGACGATGCCTCGACGACAGACGCGCTCGAGGACGGCGACGTGCCGAGCTGCGCCACTTCCGACGCCGGGTCGCAAGCCTGCGCCGATCGGCCGTGGAAGCGCCAGCGCGGCGCGGACGCGCTCGCGTCGCTCTCGTCCGACGTGCCCCGCGACGGCGCGCCCATGCCCGACGCGGGCGCGCTGGCCACGAGCGAGCAAGAAGCGTCCCCGGACGCCGCGGCGGAGGCGTCGGCCGAGAGCGCGCCCGCGGCGGGCGTCCTCGACCCGCCGGCCGCGGGCCAGCTCAACCTCGGCGACCTCGCCGCGCCCTTCGTCTCGCCCGAGGCGCCGCCCGCGGGTGGCACGATGCCGCCGCCGCCCTACGGCGAGGACGACGGCGACGGCGCGCCCGCGCCCGAGCTCGCGGCCGGCGCGCCCGCGCCCGCGCCGCCGTCCGCCGCGAATGATCCGCGGTTCGCGGGCCTGTCGGAGTACGAGTACGAGCGCCTCGACAAGATCGGGCGGAACCACGACTTCCTGGTGGAGCTCGGCTTCCCGGGGTCCGAGGACAAGTACGCGCCGCCGTCGGGCCACGCGCCGCCGTCGGGCCTGGGCGCGACGACGAATGCCGCGAAGAAGAAGCGGAAGCGGACGTCCGCCGCCGGGCCCGCGGAGCCGCAGCGGCGCTCGCCGCGGCGCGCCGCCGGGAATGTGTCGACCGGCGGCGAGGGCGACACGGAGGAGGCGCGCGCGGACGCGAGCGGCGTCGACGACGACGAGCCGGCGGACGCGCGCGTCGTCGGCGCGGGCGCGGGCGGCGGGGACTACTTCGACTCGACCGAGATGCACGTGCTGGGCCAGACCTTCGGCGCCGCGATGGAGGCGAAGCGCGCGCGCTACGCCGCGGCCATCGAGGCCCTGCCGTCCGCGGACGTCGACGCGGCCATCGAGGCCGTCGGGCGCTTTGGCTCGGAGGACCCGACGGACGAGGACGTGCTCATCGTGCTCCTGCGAGCCCAGGCGGCCGACGCGCCGGCGCGCCTGAAGCTCAAGGCGAAGGGCTCCGCCTCGCCGGTGCCGAGCTCCGGCGCCGAGGCCTTCGTCGTCGAGTTCAACAAGGCCGCGGCCTACCAGAACGGCCAGAGCGGCGTCCGCGTGGACTTCACCCGGCCGTCGAAGACCTGGTTCCCCGAGGGCGGCGACTTCGGCGTCGCGTGGAAGCGCCTGCGCGTCAAGGACGGCCGGACCGACGCGACGCGGGACCTCTTCGGGTGGCAGTACGTGCTCGTGGAGCGGAGCGGCGCGGGCGGCGCGGGCGCCGCCGTCCCCGACGCGGCGTCGCTCGTGCGCGTGTGGCGCGGCGACGACCGGCCCGCGACGGCGCGCGCCGTGTCCGCGCACGCGACGCCCGCGCCCGTGTCCGCGGCCGTCGCCGAGCCCTACGCCGCGGCCGTCGCGGCCCTGTCGTCCGCTGACGTCGACGCGGCCATCGAGGCCGTCGGGCGCTTCGACTCGGAGCCGACGGACGAGGACGTGCTCATCGTGCTCCTGCGAGCCCAGGCGGCCGACGCGCCGGCGCGCCTGAAGCTCAAGGCGAAGGGCTCCGCCTCGCCGGTGCCGAGCTCCGGCGCCGAGGCCTTCGTCGTCAAGTTCAACAAGACCGCGGCCTACCAGCACGGCCAGAGCGGCGTCCGCGTGGACTTCATGCGGCCGTCGAAGCCCTGGTTCCCCGAGGGCGGCGACTTCGGCGTCGCGTGGAAGCGCCTGCGCGTCAAGGACGGCCGGACCGACGCGACGCGGGACCTCTTCGGGTGGCAGTACGTGCTCGTGGAGCGGAGCGGCGCGGGCGGCGCGGGCGCCGCCGTCCCCGACGCGGCGTCGCTCGTGCGCGTGTGGCGCGGCGACGACCGGCCCGCGACGGCGCGCGCCGTGTCCGCGCACGCGACGCCCGCGCCCGTGTCCGCGGCCGTGGCGCCCGCGCCCGCGCCCGTCGCCGCGGCCGTCGCGCCCGCGCCCGCCGTGTCCGCGCCCGTCGCCGCGGCCGTCGCCGCGGCCGTCGCGGCCCTGTCGTCCGCGGACGTCGACGCGGCCGTCGCCGCGGCCGTCGGGGCCCTGCCGTCCGCGGACGTCGACGCGGCCGTCGAGGCCGTCGGGCGCTTCGGCTCGGAGGACCCGACGGGCCAGGACGTGCTCATCGTGCTCCTGCGAGCCCAGGCGGCCGACGCACCGGCGCGCCTGAAGCTCAAGGCGAAGGGCTCCGCCTCGCCGGTGCCGAGCTCCGGCGCCGAGGCCTTCGTCGTCAAGTTCAGCAAGGCCGCGGCCTGCCAGAACGGCCGGAGCGGCGTCCGCGTGGACTTCGTCCGGCCGTCGAAGCTGAGGGCCTGGTTCCCCGAGGGCGGCGACTTCGGCGTCGCGTGGAAGCGCCTGCGCGTCAGGGACGGCCGGACCGACGCGACGCGGGACCTCTTCGGGTGGCAGTACCTGCTCGTCGCGCGGGGCGGCGCGGGCGGCGCGGGCGCCGCCGTCCCCGACGCGGCGTCGCTCGTGCGCGTGTGGCGCGGCGACGACCGGCCCGCGACGGCGCCCGCGCCCGCCGTGTCCGCGCCCGTCGCGCCCGCGCCCGTGTCCGCGGCCGCCGTGTCCGCGGCCGCCGTGTCGCTCACGCCCCCGCCCGGCGGCGAGCCGTAGAGCTTCCCGCAGCAGGCCTACGGCCAGCAGCCCTACCCCGACCCCTACGCCTACCCCTGGCCGCACGCGTGGTCGCCGCCGACGGCGTTGCGGCGACGGGCTCCTACGGCCAGCCCCCGCACGCGCCGCTCTACGGTGCCGGCGCCGCAGAGCGCGCGGGCTACGGCGAGCTCTCGGCGAGGAAGAGCTAAAACTTGTCTGTGCGAGTGGCGGATGCTCTCTGGGGAGGGGCCCGCGCCGCGCGGGCTCTGGAGGGACTTTCCGGGCCGCGTCACGCGGGCGGGCGCCTCAGCGTCGGGCAGCAAGCCTGCCGCGGCCGTCGGCCCTCGAGGCGTCCAGCGGCGGCACGGCGACGCGGACGTTCGAAGGAGAAAGAGCCCCCGCGGCGCGCGGATCGGCGCGGTGAAGGCCGCGCCGGCTCCGCGGCACTCGAGGAGCGCGTCCGCGTCGAACCCGATCGACATGCCGGCCTGCCCGACGACGACGGTCGCGCCCGTGTCGTTCGCGAGGCCCGTGTCGCTCGAGGGCTTCGCGGCGGGCTCCGGGCTCGGCCCGCGGCGCGACGCGAGGACGAGCAGACCGCGAGGCGGCCGTCGTCGTGGCACTCGGTGCCCGAGCTCGTGATGTCGTCGACCCAGTAGAAGGGCATCTCGCGGTTGTCGCCCGGCTCCTTGTAGGAGTAGCGGTCCTCGACGATCGCGCCGACGGTCGGCTTCTCCAAAGCCGTCGCGAAGTACTCCGCGCGGGAGCTGCGGTGGCCCTGGAAGAGCTCCAGCGCGTAGAAGGGCTCGTCGCCGTAGTAGTAGGACGTGACGAGGCGCGCGACGGCGTTGACCTGGTCGCCGAAGTAGTCGATGCCGCGAGCGAGGAGCGCGCCTCGGCGCCGGACGCGAACGACACGTCGGCCTGCTCGTCGACGACCGTCGCGCTCGCGAGTTCCACGGCGAGCCGCGGGCTCGGCGCGTCGCGACGCGAGAGCGTCGCGGTGTTTCGGCGGCCATGAGCTTCGCGGCCCGCTCGGCGGCGCGCCCCGGACACGGCGCGCGCGACGCCGGCGGCGCCGCGGCGAGCGCTCGGGCGACGTCGCCGGTCGCCGCGGCTTCAGCGCGCGGAGCGTCGTCGCGCGCGCAGCCTTCGCCGGGGCCGGGCGTCGTCGTCGAGCGCCGCGCCACGGAGCGTGTGGCGCCGAGCTGCCACAGCTCGGACCGCGTCATCCGAAATCGGCGCGCCGCCGAGGCCTCCGCCGGCCGGGGCTCGGCTCCGATGCAGCTGAGTTCGAGCAGCGCGGTGCGATGGATAGCATTTCTAAATCCCGCCGCAATTCGACCAGGAGAATTGGCGAGCGCGTGCGCGGGGGCTTATCCGGCCTCGATCGCGCGCTGAGCCTCCGACGAAACGGGCCGCTTCGTTTCGCACGTCGATCATCATGATGCGACAGGCACGAGTTGTGTCTTTTCTCACTTTTTGTTAGGCGTGTGCTGCGTCTTTTTGGTTAGTGGCACGCCGCGCCCGAGACACGAAAGGACCAGGATTGAACTTTGTCCTGGTCCGACCCCGTGTTTTTTTGTTTGTTTTTACCGTGGCGAGTGACAACGGCTCGCTCGACTGCGGTGGCGCGTCCCACTGGAGCTTTCACCCGATTGCACTCATGACGACGTCTTCCGGGACGCGCGACGCGCCAGCTCACGGTGCTTTCGGACGGATGGGTCGCGCGCGGCATCGAACAAACGGCTGTGTAGGTCGTCGGCGGCGCGGCGACGGCACGCAACCATGCCCCCGCAAAGAGCGGCCGCGTCGCGGCAGCTTGGCCTCGCATGAGGCTCTCAGCCGCGCCAATGGATGAGCGTCGAGCACCTCAACGCGAGCTTTAAGCTCTGCTGCGAGAGGCAGCGCAGCGATCGCTTCGCGTCGCGTCGGAGCCGCTGCCGCGGGCGCCGCTCGTCGTGCGCTGCTTCGGCTTCGGCTAGGCCGGCCGGCGACAGGTTCCTACCTCGCGTCGCTCGACGCGCACGCGGAAGCGTCGTGGCGCGCGGCGTGCCACGCGCTGGCGGCGCGCAGCGTGCAACGCGCTGGCGGCGCGCGGCGGCGACGCTCGGGATGTCATGCTCGGGGGCGCACGTCGGCGCGATCGCGGCCGACGACGACGTCGCCTCGGCGCGCTCGCGGCTCGCGGCGCTGAAGATCGCGCCGCGCCGCGGCGGCAGCGGTGGCCCGATCCGTGCCGACCACGCGTGGTCGCCGCGGATCGGACCGCCGCCGTCTCGCCGCAGCGGTCCGCGCGCGCGCGCGGCCGCTCGGACGCCCGGGCGCCGCGCGATGCGGTCTTCGACGGCGTCGGGGAGGGCGGCGTCGCGTCCGAGCACCTCGCGGTCGCCCTGGCCGTGGCCGCGCGCCGCCGCCGCGGCGAGGACCAGGTCGTCGACGGCGACGAGGCCGGTGGACGCGCTCTTCTCGCGTGGCGCGGCCGTGCGCGGAAGCCGTGGGCCTTCGCGGCCGCGAGGTCAAGGAGGTCGGTGCCGTGCTGCTGCCACCCCTCGCGGGCCCCCCAGGTCTTAGGCGCCAGTTGTAAAGCGACGCGGCGCGTATGGTTGGACAGGCCGTGGGGGCGGCAGGGGCAGTGGGGGTGCTGGCGCCGGAGGGAGGGACTTCGGGTTCTCAGCAGGCGTCTAGAGCTCCATCGATTCCTTGCCGAGGGAGAAAAAGAAGTAGATGACGGAGCCGCCGCAGCAAAGCGTCCCGAGGAACTTCGCCTGCGGCTTGAACGTGTGGTCGTGGGGGATGGACCTGCGCGGGCGCGTAGGTCAAAGGTCCGTAGGTTCCGGACGAAGCTACGCACGCAACGACGATGAAAACGAAGCCCAACAAGATGCCGAGCCCGACCTGCGCCCAGATCTTGCGCCACTTCTTGTCGTAGTCCGCGGCCGCCTGCTCCTCCGCGGCCTTCTTCTCGTCCGCGGCCGCCTTCTCCTCGTCGGCCTTCTTCTTTTCGGCCGCCTCCTCGGCTTCTCGATCCCGGATCTGCTTGTTCACGATGCCCTCGACGTCGAAGCTCCAGGGCGTGGCCTCTGCATCGGCGCCCTCCATCTTGGTGGCGACGCACATCTCGAGGTAGGCCTTCTCTTCGATCTTCATGCGCTTATTCGCGGACTGCCCGAAGTAGCGCTGCGACTCCCCGATGCAAATGTTGTTGGCAAGATCCTCGCGCGACCGGTCCATGTCGTCCCAGTTCTCTCTTGCCTCTGCGTTCCGCACCATGGCCGCCTGGACGCAGTCCTCGAGCTGCACCTTCAGCTCGGGGCGCGCGAACTTCAGCTCGCACGCGACTTTGTTCAGGGGCGTCTTGGGCGTGTACCGCGGGGGCTTTTCGGCGCCGTCGATCGCCTTGGTCGTTGCGGCGCCGACGAAGGCCGCGAGCAGCGTCCACAAAGCGCACGGGGCCATCGGGGAGCGAGGGGCGTCAAGGGGCGGCGTCCGAGGCGACTTGCTTAAACTGGATGCGGCGCCCGGGCTGCTCGGAAACCATGGGCTGAAAGCATGCCTGCAACACGAGGTCAAGATCGACTTTCGGGTCGAGCTCTCGACGGCAGCCTGCGCCAGCGCTAGGACCCGACGCGCGCCATGGCTGCGACGCCCGACCGGTTCGGGGAGCTCGTGTTCGAGCTCGGCTGCTACGCGCGGAACGAGGAGAGCGTCTACGACGCGACCATTCGCAAGAGCTGCTGCGCGGGCCGCGCCGACGTGCGGCGCATCGTCATCTTCACGGGCGATCCGGCGGCGCACCCGGAGTGCGCGTCGGTGAAGGAGATGGTGCGCCACCTCAACGAGCGGGCGAACATTGCCATCAAGTACCGCACCTTCGAGACGGACGTGAAGAACTTCTTCACCATCATGGGCAAGCTCGACTTCGGCGGCGTCGGCGGCGTCACCGTGGATCGCGCGAGCTTCAAGAAGAGCAACTGGTCCGGCGGCGTGCCGCCCGAGGACCTCGTCCGCTTCGTGCTGGACGCCGGCTTCCCGCAGAAGTTCTTCGACATCGTCAAGGCCACCGGCAAGAGCGTCAACGCGCTCACCCGCGGGACAAAGCGAGGGAAGAAGCGCCCGGCCGCCACGGCGCTCGCGCGCGAGAACGACGACCTCCGGGCCAAGCTCGCGCGGTTGAGCGACGCCGCGCGCCCCGACACGAGCGGCGACGCGGCGGCGAACGGCGACGGCGACGCCGCGGCGCGCGACGCGGCGCGCGACGCGCGCGGCGCGCGCCGCGTGAGCCCGGCCGACGGCGGCAACTCCGCGGGCGCGCCCATGGACGAGGACGACCCGGTCGGCGTCGACGCGGCCGGCGGCTTCGGCATCGGCGGCGGCGGCCGCGACGAGATGGAGGTCGAGGAGGACTACGAGCCGCCGCCGTCCTTCGAGGATGATTACGACGACGCGACGCAGCAGACGGGGCAGGAGCTCTCCGTCGGCGACACCGACGACGACGACGATGAGGAGCTGGGGCCGCCCGCGCGACCGAAGAAGCGCCAGTGCGTCGAGCGCGCGGACGCCGCGCCCGGCAACGACGACGCGCCCATGCCCGACGCGCCCACGCCCGAGGCGAGCGTCGCCGAGGCGGGCGCCGCCGAGGCGGGCGACGACGCCGAGGCGCTCCGCGCGGCCGCGCCGGTCGCGGACGAGACGCCGCGCGACGCCGCGCGCGCGGCCGCGTCGAACGCGGCCGACGCGCTCGGCGCCGCGGCGGCGCCCCTGGCCGACGCGCTCGGCGTGGCGCCGCCCCTGACCGACGCGCTCGGCGCGGCGGCGGTCCCGGCCGGCGCGCTCGGCGCGGCGGCGGTCCCGCCGGCGCCGCCCCCGGCCGTCGCGCTCGGCGCGGCGCCGCCCCTGGCCGACGCGCTCGGCGCGGCGGCGGCCCCGGCCGGCGCGCTCGGCGCGGCGGCACCCCCGCCGGCGCCGCCCCCGGCCGTCGCGCTCGGCGCGGCGCGCGTGGCCGCGTCGAACGTGGCCGACGCGCTCGGCGCGGCGCCGCCCCTGGCCGACGCGCTCGGCGCGGCGGCGCTTTTCCTGGCCGCCGCGCTCGGCGCGGCGCCGCCCCCGGCCGTCGCGCTCGGCGCGGTGCCGCCCCCGGTCGGCGCGCTCGGCGCGCCGCCGCCCCTGGCCGACCTCGACGAGCAGGACTACTACGACGCCTGGCGCGCCCAGACCCTCTGCAGCATGGGCTGGCACGTCGTCTGGTCCATCCCCTGCGGCCTCGGAGCCTACCTCCTCGGGCAAATCTGCGCGGGGTAGGCGCTCCCCCGCCACCTCGACCCTGTGCCCTAAGTTCCCTCTGTCGCCTCCTCCTGCACGATTCACCCCCGGCGACCTGTGTTTTGCTGCGGCTGCGTGATGCAGTTCAGCCATAACTCGGGCTGCGTCGCGCGCGCGGACGAGTTCTTTTGCCAGGCCCTGGACACCTCATCGAGGCGGCCCTCCACCGCAAGAACGGCGGAAATTGACTCTGCGCGCCCACGCGCGGAGCGCGGCCTTCGTCGGCAGGTTCGCCCACGCCTCGGGCCCGGCTCAACAGCACCCGACCTTGGCAGCTGTCTGAGGCTGCCCGATGGGTGCCGGCGCCGTGCGCGCTACACCAGCGCCTCGCGAGTTCGACGACGCCTTGTCTCTCGGCGCGCGACCCGCCAAAGCCGCGGCGCCGCGCGAAAAGCCAGCCCCAGCCTCGTTGCCCGACGAAGCATTCGATTGGATCCCCGTGGAGACGGATCCACCCGCTTTCGGCCAGCCGCAACCGCACCGGCAGCAAGCCTCTGCTACCAGCAGCAGCAGTTCCAGCGCGCCCGCGTCGTCACCCGTAGCGTCGCCCGCGCCCGCCGCCGCCGCCGCGGGCCGCGGCGGCGGCGCCGCGCTCGCGAGCCTGCAGACGGTGCTCGTGCTCTCCCTGATCCTCGCGAGCGCGTCGTCCGAGGTCGTCGGTCGCCGCCCACCCGAGCGAGCGCGACGAAGGACCGGCGGCGAGTGACCTCGCGAAGCCGCGACGGACGCCTCCGATGGATGCGGCGCTCCGATGACGCGCGCCTCCGTTCGACCATAAGCTGCGCTTGCTTGCCTGTGTGTGCGTTTGTCTCCCGGGCGCCTCCGCCGAGCGCGCGCGCGCACCCGTGGTTCAAGGTGCGCGCGCGCCGCGACGCCAAAGCACTTCAATGAAGCATTCATCATGCAGTTGCCGTGGAAGGGAAGGGAAGTATGGAAGCCGCAGCATCCGCTTGAACTAGGGCAAAACGATGGCCGCCGTCTCCTCCGCGGACCTGCTCTACGACCCGCAGGTCTGGGTTTACTTCGCCATCTTAGGCTGGTCGCTGCGCGGCCAAGTACAGCGCGCGACGCGCCGGGGCCTCGCCGCGGCCTGCGCGCTCGTGGGCATCACCTGGTTCTACATCTTCCGCTTCACGCTCGCGTACAAAAACGGCGGCGGCGCCAACCTCTTCGACGACGCCTACGCGGACGTGCTCCGCGGCCCGCACGCGCGGAGCTCCTGCCAGCTGCTCACGTGGGTCGTCGTCGCCTTCACGCTCGCGCCGTCCAGGGACGTGCTCTGGACGGGCATGCTCGGCGCCATGTCCGCCGCCTACTCGCTGTCGCCGCCGGACCTCGCGCCGCCGCCGCGCGTCGCGACTTTGGACGCGGCCTGCGCGCTCGCGAGCCTCGCCTGCGTCGCCGCGCTGCCGCGGCTCCTCGACGCGCCCGCGGCCTTTGGCGCCGTCCTCAAGGCGCTCCACGCGCTCCTCGTGCTCCCGCGCTACGCGCCGGCGCTGCCCGGCTCCGTCGACGCGACGGTCTTCTACGGCGCCGTCGCCGCACTCGTCGGCGCCCGGCGCGACCGCGTCGCCGCCGTCCCGGCGACGGACTGCCAGGCGTCGATCTTCGTGGACCTCGTCGCCTGCGCGGCCCTGAGCGTCGCGGCGGTCCGCCGGCGCCGCGGGCCGGGCGTCGCCGCCGCGTTCGCCGCCGCGTCGCTCGTCCTGTCCCCCGGCGGCGCGCTGGCGCTCTACCTCGCGCTCGAGAGCGCCGCCGCCGCCGCCGCGCCGCGCGAACGGACGGCGACGCGCTTCGGCCGCGTCTTGGTCATCGGCGCGGGCGCGTCGGGCCTCGCGACGGCGAAGACGCTCCTCGAGCACACGGACGCGGACGTCGTCGTCGCGGAGCGCGCCGGGACCGTCGGCGGCGTCTTCGCGGACGCCTACGAGGGCGCGCGCATGGTCTCGTCCAAGTACGTCACGGCCTTCTCCGACTTCCGGCTCGGCCGCGGCGCGGAGAGCCACCTCGCGCTCGACGCCTACGTCGCCTACCTCGAGCGCTACGTCGACCGCTTCGGGTTGGCGCGAAAAATCGAATTCGGGACGACGGTGCGCGCCGTGGCGCGGGCGGGCGGCCGCTACGCGGTGGAGACGGAGGCCGGGGGCGTCGCGCGGACGCGCTCCTTCGACCGCGTCGCCGTCTGCTCCGGGCTCCACACGCACCCGAAGACGCCGGCGCTGCCCGGCCGCTTTCGCGGCGACGTCTTCCACAGCCGGGACTACGCGTCCCCGGGCCGCTTCGCGGGGCGGCGCGTCGTCGTCGTCGGCGCGGGCGAGACGGCCTTCGACGTCGCCCACGGCGCCGCGTCCGCCGGCGCGCGCGCCGTGACCATGTCGACGCGGCGCGGCTTCGTGTCCGTGCCCGCGTCGTTCGGCGAGGGCGTCGCGCCCCTGGACTGCATCATCGCCAACGCGGGCACGCACTGCTGGGAGAGCGCGTGGGCGCGGCGCGTCGGCCTCCACTGGTGGATCACGACGAAGTTCCAGCGGCTGGGCATGCTCGTCCTCGGCGGATCGTCCAAGGGCTGGAACCAGTGGGTCGGCGCGAGCGTCCACATGGACTGGACGGAGGGGCGGAAGCACATCGTCAACAAGGCGACGAAGTGCATGCCGCTGCTGAATCGGAGCGCCAAGGGGCCCGCGTGGAACCCCTACCGCTTCTGGGACAGCGCCGCGTCCCGCGTCGCCGTCGGCGTGGACCTGCTCGACAAGTACGAGCCCGTCAAGTTCGAAAGCGACGGCGTCGCGTTCCGATCGCTCGACGGCGGGCCGGACCGCGTCGTCGGGGCGGACGTCGTCGTCTTCGCGACGGGCTACCGCCAAAAGTTCCCCTTCCTCTTCGGCGCCGGCGCCGGCGACGACCCGCTGCCC